GGCCAATGAAACCTCAACGAATGTTGCTCTGCGGTAATTTGGCCCATTCCCGGCGAAAAGCTTGCTTGAGGTGATCGACACTTTATATTTTTTAGTGGCAACCTTGCTTTCCAAAATATTCCAGACACAATAGTTCAACGGATTGGTATCCGGAGATTTTGGTGGCCATTGTGCGCTGAAAATGAAGCGAGGAACCTCATTTTGTAATCGTTCTTGAGTGGCGGGTGTTGAGTGCGATGGTGCTGAGTCCTGTTGAAATGTCCAAGGTCAGCGGCCAAAATGTTTGCGTGCCCAAGGCTCTAATACACCCTCCAGAATATTTTCGCGATAATGTTCGGCATTTATTAATACGAGCGGATAGCGACCATCAGCTGTTATGGCGGCCCACACCATCACCATGGCCGGCCCTTGAGTTCTGGTGGTCAACCGAAGGTGCACATTTTCAGCTGACCTCTTTGGCAAGTAAACACGACCATTTTGTTTGTTTACAAACTGTTGGACAACGAACGTTTTCTCATCGGAGACGAAGAAAACCATATTCGGCAGTTCACCAAATTCGGCCAAGAGAAGCTATTCTTTAGCTCTTTTGAGTCTATTTTCTTTCCGATGCGGTGTAAGTTCTTGCAGTTTTTAGAATTTCAATGGCTTTACCCCGAGCTCATTTTTCAATATTTGCCGAATGGAATATTGCGATATGTCCAGCTCACGAAGCATTTTTCGGTTATTACGACGCGGGTTTCGATCAAGGCGTTTCTTTACTTTTCGAACTATTTCTGCTGATGTTACTGTTTTCTTCCGTCCACTTCCTTGACTTCGGTAACGAGCGATGACCACTTGCGATTTTCCAGCCAAATATAAAGAAATCACACTATCACGCTTGAATTCCAACACGAATAACTTTTCTCTGGAAAATTTTCACCAAAATGCTTTTGTACGCTTGTAAACAATATAATGAGCTGTCACTGGAATAATTTTAACAGCTGTCGGACGAGTGGCTTAGAAATGACAGCAGTCTAAAGTTGATTGCAGTTTTCTCACCTCACCCTGTAGTTGTTATAAAAAAAATATATTGTTGATCTGCTCCAGAATCTACAATTTTTCAGATTGTTGTCAATATTTGTCCTGATCCAAACCTTACAAGATTTTTTTCGATGTCGTAAAGGGAAAATTGGTTATCGTAGTAAACATTTTATATTCTTCCAGCCCTGGAACCGATCAAATAATTGCTTTATTGCATATTCAATATCTCAAAATCGATTTAAATCTGTGTTCAAATTTATTCTTAATTTTTATGAATTTTTTTTAATATTACATTTTTGATATCTTCGTAAAATCATACAATGTCGAAATCATCAATTCTTAAAAATTCAATTTCACATCAGTCTTAGCATTGAAAAGCTACACAAAATGGCGTTCTGGCCTTTAAACGCCAATTAACGGTTTAATAGAAAATCTTTGCAAAAAACCAACTCTTGGTAGCAGTTCAACTTTGATACGTTCATTTCCAGTTTGTTTACTTCGTCGATGCTAGTTTTGAAATCGTTCAAAGGTGTTTAGACATGCGATTGTAATTAGAGCGATTATCTAGATATAAATACGAAACGACATTAGCTACTGTAACTAGTTAGAGGGTGACGGAGTTTGGGGGGGAGGGGTGACTGATCAAAATGTATTTACCTCTAATAACAATAGTTTCAGTCAGTACAGTTTTCAATAATAATTTCTATTAACTTTGGGTTTAAAAAAAAATAATAAAAACAGAAATCAAAACCAAATAGTAAAATCTAAAACGGAATATTTCGAAAAAAAAATAATTCAAAGCTAGATTTCAGTTATGTTTAGTGTCTTTTGGTAGCATTTAATAAATATGAGGATGATGGTAATTACTCTGGGTTGCCTTGTAGAATTATTGAAAATAATTAATAGGATTTATTTCAAGTATTTTGTTTAGACTGGTTTTTTAGTTTATGTTTTTTCAGCTGAGCAAAATTAACATCAAAGCGAAATGAAAAATCAAATAAACTTGGCAAATAAAAATAATTTACATTTTCAATTGCTTTAATTTTAAATAAAAAAAAAAACACATAAATCGTTGTTTTTATTTTATATAAGTTATTATTTTCAATGTATGAAGGAAACCGAGTCATAACTTTCTCTATAACAAAATGATCAACACAGAATTTAGGGGGTGAAGATTTTTTTTTTTTTTGGAAAAATTACTACTCTTGCATTTGCTAAATTTTACTCGCGAGTAAAAAACGCTAATTTCAAAAAAATATTTATTCTCCTCTCTATTGTTTTGACTGGGAGCTCTCGCGAGCACTCCAGTTTGATAAATAAGAGTAGAAGTCAATATGTTCGAAAAAGAGAATAGTTTATTAAATGTATTTTTTTACTGATATGTAGGTTTGTGTGTGGGTAGTAGTAGTAGCAAACAATTTTTAAGGTTACTCTTGGCTGAAGGTTGTGAGATCTTGTTCAAAAGTCAGGAAGAGAAAAACAGCAGATTAAGTAAGTTATGCGGTATTAAGAGGGATCGGTGGTTATGTGTACGAAAACAACAAACGCTACCACTGTTGGTTCTCTTCGATGTTTTTTTTTTTTTTTTTTTTTGTTTGCTATTGTGGAATAAAAAAAGACACATACTTACATATTAAAACAACGGTATGGCTAAAACCAAAAGTATACACGTCAAGAGCAGAATTTGGTCAATTTTGAGAGAATTTTACTCCCACTCAAATATAAGAATGTTATACTAGCTGTTCTTCGAGTGGCATAGAAAAATAGAGTATATTCGACTTCTTCTATCAACTCCCAGGAGTGTTCCCGGTCTGACCGAATTTCACTCCCTATTCTAATTCGAGACAGCAGTTTGGAGCTCTGATTTAAACCCATTAGTGTTTGATGTTAATGTAACTCAGAGGGCTTATGTCTTTTCGAATTTCTTTATTTGTAACCGAGGTCTCTTATCATATTGTTAGTCGAATTATACATATCCGTCCGTATGTCCATATATTTTCATGACAGAGTACAGGTCAAATTTTATTCCCCGATAAAGATAAAATTCAACACAATACGAAAATTCCTAATATTCGATTCAGATTTGGATAAACGCCTATTTTGATTGCAAAAAATTCAAATCGGCAAATAGAGCCTGATTAATGCTAAGGGATACTCTGGTTAAATTGTTGCAAAGGAGCTTCTTATATTGATCGCTTCTTCCTATTATATATAAATAAATCTAAAAATCTGTCATTATAGGTTAAGACCACTAGAGTTAAATTTGTAGGTTCACGTTTTAGTGAAGCGTCCATAAACGGGACTACACTCTTTCTGGTGTTTTAAAGACTTCGACAGCATTCACTAGCCGATGTCATTGGCATTTGTAGTTTAAAATGGGCCGGCCGAACTCCATGTTATTCAATTTTTTTATTTATTTATTTGGCCGATGTTGGGGTTGAAGTGGCTCTTTTCTGATTTGTAGTCAGGCCCACAATGCGCTCAGATTTTGAAATACGTAGTAAAAAGTACGAAAAGTACTATATGCAACTAAATTGAGTATTTGAAGCCTAAATTTGGCATTAGGATCACTTTTTGTGCGGTTTGGTTGATACATAACGGGAGATTTGTAAATAGATACGAAAAAAAGTACTAAATGATATTAATTTTGATATTTGGGGTAGAATCAGGGCTCAAATTTTATTTTGAGGTGTCTATTGATATCTGGAATTTTTATATGGAGGTAGTTTTAGAAATGTGTACTATAATTGTACGAAAAGTACTAAATGGTACTAACTTGGGTATCGAGTGAATGGATAGTGCTGCAATTCCGAGATTTGATATTGAGGTGTCTCTTGGTATCTGCGAATGAGATATCGAGGTGGTTTTTGAAATGTGTACTATTATTGTACGAAAAGTTCTAAATTGTACCAAATTTGTTATTGGAATATGGGATAGAGCTGAAACAGTGAAATTTGATATTGCGATAGCTGTTGATGTCTAGAATTGAGATTTGAGAGATTTTGTAAATGAATACTAAAATTATACGAAAAGTACTAAATGTTACAAAATTTCATATTGAGTGAATATATGGAGCTGGAATCTCGAAATTTGATATTGACGTCTCTTCTGGTGTCTAGCGTTGAGATATGGTGGTGGGTTTGAAAATGCCCACTATAATTGTCCGAAAAGTACTAAATGGTGCTAGTTTTGGATCACTGTTGGTGTCTAGAATTGAGAGAGTAGATTCTTTTGAATATGCGTACTATATGTTTCCAAATTTGGTATTGGCCGGAGTTATAGAGCAGAAATTTGATATTGAGGTCACAGTTGACTACTAGGTTTTACATATGGAGACGTTGAAATAGTTTTGAACAGAAAAATTGTATAAGTGTCCATTGTGCAATGGCTTTACTAATACCCTCCTCGGTAAACATCAAAATTAAAGATTTTGAAGACCCTTTATTCTTTCCTAAACGTTCATCGAAATTGTAGGCGCGAAGATTATAAGACATCACTTTAGTTTTTGAAGTCAAACATGCACATTCTGAGCCGGGGTTACTCAATACTTGGGAAGCGTGCCCTAGCAAAATTTTACCTAAAAAACTCAATATTTTTTTTATATGACTTACAAATATATTTTTATTAAGACTTACAAATATTCCAAAGTCTTAGGTTTTAATTTCAATTTTGTGATGACTCAAAAGAAAAATAAATACGAAGCGCTCGTGCAGGAAAATCCCCTTTAACCTTGACCATGAATTCCAAATAAAACAACATTTTAATGACTACGAAAAAAATTAAATTATTATTTTTTTTAAAAAACATTTCAAATTGTAAGTCCACATATTTATGGTAGCTGTATTTTTTTCATTTGACCTTTTTTACAATTTAAAGATCGCAGTTGCATGACTAGGCAACTTTTTTTGATAATTCATATCATTGTTTTTTAAAGGTAGCTGTCATTATTATATGTTTCCACTTCTCATCTTTATTTCCAGTTATGGCCTTTTGGGTGCTTCGGGTTGTGGCAAAACCACCTTGCTCTCTTGCATTGTTGGGCGCCGTCGTATCGATTCTGGTGAAATATTCGTTTTGGGCGGCAAGCCTGGATCTCGTGTATCGGGTGTGCCCGGCAAACGTGTTGGCTATATGCCACAGGAAATCGCCCTGTATGCAGAGTTCTCCATACGCGAAACCATGATGTACTTCGGTTGGATTTTCGGCATGGAAACGAAAGAGATCAATGAACGTTTGCAGTTTCTGTTGAATTTCTTGGATTTACCCTCGGAAAAGCGTCTGGTGAAGAATCTCAGTGGTGGCCAGCAGAGAAGAGTGTCGTTCGCTGTGGCTCTGATGCACGATCCGGAATTGTTGATTTTGGATGAGCCCACAGTGGGTGTGGATCCGTTGCTACGTCAAAGTATTTGGAATCATTTGGTTCACATCACAAAATCGGGACAGAAGACCGTTATCATTACCACACATTACATTGAGGAGGCCAGACAGGCGCATACGGTAAGTTTAGAAGAGAGGGAGCTATATAAGAAAATATATGATATTTTGGAATAATCTCTTTTAGATTGGTCTAATGCGTTCCGGCAACTTGCTGGCCGAAGAATCACCTAGTGTCTTACTTTCCATGTACAAATGCATCAGCTTAGAGGATGTCTTCTTAAAGCTTTCCCGTCTCCAGTCACAAAAGGGCGATGTATCTCAGGTTAATTTCAGGTAGGCCGAAAAACCCAAAAATTATTAGCATGTAATTATTTAAATGAAATGTCATCTTTAATTTTTTAATCCCAATTTAATTTGTTCTCATTTTTTGCATGTAATTTGTTAATTTATTAATTTTTTTAATTTCTTTTTTTTATTGATTTACTTTCATTTCATTGCACTTCAAAAAAACCCAAAAAAAAAACACTTAACAACAACTACCAATCAAACATCAACAAAAACAACAACAATAATCAATCAATCAATCGATCGGTCAACAATGGTATCAACATCAAACTTAATTATTTATCTCAAATCGAATGGAAACACAATCAACAACTACAACAACAACTCAACAACAATCACAAATCAAACATTGCCCATTTATCAACAAATTCGTCAATCTGCCATAATTATTTGTTTTATTTATTTTTTGTATTTATTTTGATTTGTGTTAATAATCTGTGGGTGGTTATTTGGTATCTATGTGTGTGTGTGTGCGTGTGTCACTATCTGTGTTCAATCATTGCCATCCCATCCGGTCTGATCTCTCATGATCGACCACTCTCCCCGCGGCCATGAAATCGAATTTCCAACTAACAGTAATAATATTTCGTTACATGCCATGGGATTCGGCAGTAAAATGGACAAACCCAGCGGCAGCCAAGAGGGTGGCGTTGTCGGTCTCAATTTCCATCAAAGCAAAGAAATCCTAATCAACGATACCAATGGATCCATATATACGGTATGTATACATAATTGCATTAAAAAATATAATTAATAATAATTATCATAATTTGTCGATCAAAGAATATTAATGTGAGATTTGAAAATTCAAGAAATAGATTTTGGGTAGAGATTTTTGGAAATATATGCATGCCAATAGTTTGTAAGATTATGTGTTGCAGGAGTTTTTATGAAATATATAGATGAATTGTGAGACCTCAAAAATGTTTACACATACACATGATCTGCATTAATTTCCATTTATATACAGTCTATACTCTCATTAAAATCACGATTGACAGGCGTTTGAACCTTTGCACAGGCATTGAAATTGAATCTTGAAAATGTTATTCAAAACGTTTATATTGCTTAACGTTTAGCTTTTTTTGTATTTTAAATGTCTCAGCCTCAGTTTTGCCGATTCATCCTCCGCAATATAGGATCTCCATAAGGAAAAAAATGTTTTAACCCACATTAATTGTGTCACATTACAATTAAATTTAAGATTATCAAAGCTTACAAACCCTCCCTCTACAGTAAAATGTTCAATAAAGATACCCTATTCGATATATCGCCCATATATCAGTTCCTCTACTTCGTCTTTATGATCTCTAAGTTAAATGTCCCAGAACGACTTTAAGCTGAAATCACTGTAAGCTTATATATATGGTTCCATTGAATAAGAATCTGCTCTTTCTTATGGCTACCGAGGATATTTTTCATTTCATCCGTCCAAAAGGTGCTTCATCGAAATTTTTTAGACCCTGGATCTCTTTGGACCAAGTCCCATTTAGACACATCGTAATAATATCATCAAACTTAGATCGAGTTCGGAGATGGGTAATATCAGTTCACTGCTTGTGGTCCCTCTCCCACAAAAGTTCAAAAATTTCACAGAAAATAATTTTCCGTATAAAACAAGAAAGAATGATCCAATTTGTTCAAATTTTACAAATCCTAATATCTGTATCAGTGCTATGTCAGGTGCAAAAATGGACAACATCGGCACAGTCCATCAAGTACTTGGAGGAGGTACGAGGTGATGGAGGGTCAACAATTTGAATATTCATAGCTTATCTAAATGGTGAAATAAGAGCACAATTTACTTCAAATTTCGCACAACTCAAAATTTATACCAACACAAGTTCTGGTGTGAAGATGGAATATATCGGTCCACTCCTTCTGGTACCTCCCCCACAGCGTGTCAGAATTTTGAATAATTATATCTCTTCTTAAGCATACGATCCATTCTAAACTTCACGCATCCCAATGTTACTACTAACACAAGAGCTGATATAAAGATGGTAGATATTACCCCTGCCTTCTGGTACCTCCCTCACACGGGTCAAAATTTTGAATAACAATAAAGTTCATAAAACCGGAAATGAGATTCGTTTTAAACAACGCAATCTGTACCTCTCTCACAATTTTTAATACTAGTATCTCTCAACTTGCAAAATAAGTCAAACTAGGTATTTCTAAATATTTCTCTCAACCAGAAATCTGATGTGAATGGAAAATGGGAAGAAGTGAGCCGGTACTTCTTCTCGTGGCTCCCCCACAGAAGATTATGAATTTGATTAGCAATTCTAAAAATATTGCATACGTATGTAATATATCTCGCGAAAATATGCAATAGGGTAAGTGTGCCTAAGTTCGGCATGTCCCAGTAGTCGGCACTTTTTATTTTTAAGCCCAAATAAATGAAACTTTTATAACTAAATGTATTTTGCTTACTTCAAATATATTGTCAGCTATCTTTGTGTACAATTTCGCTAAGAAAAGATAATTTATTCTAGTAAAAATTAAATTTTTGTCTGTGAAGGTCCTCGATAATTCATATTCTTAAGAAAAGTACAATAAAGACGTCGAATCAGTTTAACTAAACAAAAATATTATATTTTAATGAATTAATTTATTATTAATTATTCTTAAAAAAAAATTGGTATGCCGACTGTTGGAACATGCCATACCGACAATTAGCAAGTGGTGCCGACTACTGGCAAAAAAGCATTGTTTTAATAAAACTACAAATTTATGAAATTTAATAAAAAGTTATTAAAACTTTATTTATTATTGCAAAAACTATACAAAATTTCGAATCTGAATAAATTAACTTTGTAATAATTGAAAAGTTCCACTCAGAATGGTGAGCGATTAAAAACGCGAAAAGTGCCGACTACTGGTACACTTACCCTATTTTTCATAAGAAAACAAGTAAAAAAGCCCTCCAACATTTGTAACGGATTTGGCAATTTTCAAAAAAAAAAAAAATAAAATCCGTTAAAAATTCTGTTAAAATCTTAAAAATACCAAATGTAGTCGTTATATTAGAGTCTATACGACGACGAGGACCTGCATAGGCAACTTTTGTCATGAGCCATTACAATATTCAAGTGCGAAACTAAAAAAAATCGGTGAATAATGTCGTTAAAATCACAATCACCGTTATATGGGAGCTATACGAAGACGTGTATCTGCCCGGACAATTTTCTGTCATAGGCTGTAGTATTTATTACGATTTTTGAAACAATTCCGGCGAATAATGTCGCTAAAATCATCAAAATACCGAATATCGGCAGGTACCGTTATATGGGTGTCTTAGGCTGAAGTATCCACTACGATTTTCAAATACCAAATTTGAAACATTTCCGGTGAATAATATCGCTTATAACACCAAAATACCGAAAATAGGGAGGTACCATTATATGGAGGCTATAATAAACGTGGACCTAGATGGCCCATTTTCAATACCAAAAGTCCTGCAGACATAATAAACAGTTGAGTAAAATTTTATCAACCTACTTAATTTTGTTCGAAGTTAGAGTGATTTCTATAGACGGACAGACATGGAATTTGATACTGATCAAATCATGTTGTGGGGTCTAAAATATATATTTCGAGGTGTTACAAACGGAATGAAAACTTTAATATACCCTCCATACTACGGTGGAGGGTTTAAAAATAGTGAATGTGAAGTGTTGTGCTATAACAAGGCATTTAGGCTCCCTCCCTTAGTCGATTAATACTGCCCTTAAAACTTTACTTCAGAAATGCCATCGGAAATTGAGTTCTTTCATTATTTGCATCACATCGGGATTGCGTTCTCACAATTTTAAATCCAAATTGTTATAACATTGACCTAACATAGAATGAGTATTTTTACCATTTGTCCTATAAATGAACAAATATTCAGGTAGTAATGTAAATGAAAACCTAGTATGGGTAGAAATTTGGTTCAATTTTTACTCTATATATTTTTAGTTTGCATCTTTTTGCTCACAATTATATAGTGAAATTCTTCATTGAGAATATTTGTCTAGTAAAATTTTTCCTATCATTTATTTCAAAATATAGTACTTTTTTTAACTATAGTTTAGAAATGATTTTTTCCATAATATTTTAAGCTTGAAATTTAGCAAAACATTGAATATCAAGCCATAATTAGAATAGGCAGATGTTTATTTCATTTTTTGCATTTTCTTAAAAGAATAACAAACATAATTTTTATTAGATTTTCAAATAAATGCGGAACTTTATTTTCAAATAAAAACATTTGTCGAGGCTATTCATTGCTTCATATGGTATCATTTATTGTTTAAAATAATACAACAAAATTCGGAAATACCTAAAGTTGGCAACAAAAAAACTCCATGTGGCTCTCGAGTCGTCACTATACCCCCAGACATTTTTTTATTTAATTTACTATTAGTAAAATTAAGCAAATCAAATGAATCGATTGGTTCATTCACATCTACGTTGTGATAACCTTGACATAGTTTTGGTGTGAAACCAAAAAAAAAATAATGGATTTATTTTGACATTACACAATTATAAAAAAAAAAAAACACGTGTATATTTGTCAATCCCTTCAATTTGAATTAGTTTAAACTAAATTTCAAAATCATAGATTTTTTTTCTTTATAAATTTATGATAACAATTTAATTGCCTCTCACATTTTCTTGTTTTTATTTTTTTTTTTTTTTGTAGAATTAATCCAAATCTGAATGATTGTTTCACATAAATTACCATGCCGTTTTATTGCTTTCCATTCTCATTTCCATAATGCTAGTGAATGTTTGTTGTATTCGAGAAATAAGCGTGCCTTTGAAATTTGTAATTCCAATTGACTGAAAAAATATGGGAAATTTTATTTCACCGGCTCGTTTAAAATATTCACTTAATATTATTAGATGAATATATTTGAATCGTACTGGTGAATGAAGTTTAAAATGTGGGAATTTCTAATAGAAACAATGAAATTTTAAAAGCCGAAACAAAAGAATTAAGACACATTGTAAATATTGAAAGTTAGGAACACAAATTTAAAACAATAGGTATAATTTAGATATCAAGCTTTTGCAAAGTTCAAAGATATATTTCGGTCCAAATATATATTTGCTGCAAAACCTTCTTAATCTTCCACCATTTTATCTTATTCCATTTGCATTCACATGAATAAATAATTTCATAAGGTTAAGTTCGAATACCAGCTATATAAGTTCCCGTTATATGGGACCATTTTTTATACTATTCTACTTTATGTACCTGCTCTCGTATCATTGAAAAACCTAAATACAGGGTGAGATGAAAAACTGCAACCAACTTCAGACTGCTGTCATTTCTAAGCCACTTGTCCGACGGCTGCTAAAATTATTCCAGTGACATCTCATTATATTGTTTACAAGCGTACAAAAGTATTCTGGTGAGAATTTTCCAGAAAAAAATTATTCCTGATTGAATTTAAGCGTGATAGTGTGATTTTTTTATATTTGGCTGGAAAACCACAAGTGGCTATCGTAAGAGCACTCCAGCATTTAAATGTGAATAAATCTTTTGTGTCTCGTACCATTACTGGTAGCGTAGCCTGACGTCAAGGAAATGGACGGAAGAAAAGAGCAACATCAGCAGAAATGGTTCGAAAAGTAAAGAAGCGACTTGATCGAAACCCGCGTCTCAGTGGCCGAAATATTCCATTCGGCATATATTGAAAAACGAGCTCGGGGTAGAGCCGTTGAAATTCCAAAAAGTGCAAAAAATTACACCGCAACAAAAAGAAAATACTCTCAAAAGAGCTAAGAGTTGCTTCGCTTGGCCGAAAATGGTTAGCTGCCGAATTTGGATTTCTCCGATGAGAAAACATTCGTTGTCCAGCAGTTTGTAAACAAACTAAATGATCGTGTTTACTTGCCAAAGCAGTCAGCCGAAAATGTGCACCTTCGGTTGGCCACCAAAACTAAAGCGCGGGCCAAGGTGATGGTGTGGGCCGTCATAACAGCCGATGGTCGCTCTCCGCTTGTATTAATCGACCGTGGCATCAGACTCCATCGCACTCAGCACGTGCCACCCAAGAATGATTTCAAAATGAGGTTCCTCGCTTCATTTCCAGCGCACAATGGGCACCAAAATCTCCGGATACCAATCCGTTGGACTATTGTGTCAGGAGTATTTTGGAAAGCAAGGATGGCACTAAAAAATGCCAAAGTGTCGATCAACTCAAGCAAGCGCTTCGCCGGGAATGGGCCAAAACACCGCAGAGCAACATTCGGGCAGCGTGAGACGGTTTCATTGACCGTTTGAAGACCATAATTCGTGCCAAAGGTGAAAAATTCGAAGAAATCTAAACTTATTCTAAAAGTTTATGCTATATCCGACATTTTTGCTTTCATTCGATAAAATTTAAAAAAAATGTAAAAATTATGGCGTCTGACTTTATTGCAGTTTTTTTTCTCACCCTGTATATTTTGGATAAGCGTAAAATTCTAAGACGATTTAGCTCAGTCCGTCTGTTGTTATTACGCTAGAGTCAAAACGAATATAGATAGGAAACTAACACTTTGCACAAATTAGTCTTTTGTCTGCAGGCAGGTCAAGTTCGAAGATGGACTATATCGGTCTTCAATATCGTATAGCCCCCATAAAACGGTCCCCCGATATTCGGTATTTTGATAATTCTTCAATGAAATTGTCTGAAAATCCACAAAAGGAGTTCCTTCTGATTACTTTACCCCCTGGAAGAGTATTATCTATATAGGTCCACGATATCGTATATCCCCCAGATAGCGGTACCGCTCTATATTCGGTAATTTGATGATTTTAGCAACATTTGTCAATGGAATTGTCTAAAAATCCATAATAGAAGTTCTTTCTAATCACTTTACCCCCTGGAAGAGAAATTTCTATATAGGTTCAAGATATTGTATAACCCACATGCAACGTTACCCCCCACCAATATTCGATATTTTGACGATTTTAGGGATTTTATTCAAAAGAGTTGCTTCAAATTTCGTATTTAGAATTTGTAAGGGGTACTACAGCCTATTACAGAAAATTGTCTATGCAGGTCCAGGTCTTCATATAGGCCCCATATATCAGTACCTCCCTATATTCGGTATTTTGATTTTGGGCACAATATTCACCTCACATTCACATTGAAATTTCGTATTTGAAGTTCCTAATAGATACTACAGCCTGTGACAGAAAATTGTCCATGTCTTCTTATAGCCTCGATATAACGGCAATATTCGGTATTTTTAAGATTTTAACAGAATTTTTAATGGATTTTACTTATTTATTTCTTTGTGAATTTTTTCCTATTTCTTCCAAATGGTGGAGTGTATTTAAAGTTCGGCCTGGCTGAACTTACTGCTTTTTAATTGTTCGATTTATGATTGGCTGATTTGTTCATTTTGGGGGGTTGGCATGAAGTTTTGAGATTTGTTACTAGTTTTTTGTTTCTGTAGTTTCTGGGTTCTTTTAGTTATGGCATTAAAGCCGTCCCTACTACTTTTATTCTGATTAGACAAAAACCAGAATACACTTGGTTATTTAAAAATTTAAAAATGTCCTGCATTTATTTAAAAAATAACCCTTTGCTAGAATTTTTGTTGCTCTTTTTCTTTCTTTCTTTTTCCGTTGCACCTTTTGTCAGAGAAATTCGAACGAAATAAAGGTATTTAACATAAATCTTCATAAAAAATACCATGACCTTAAATTTTATACTGAAAATTTATAAAAATAATTAATATTCTTTACAACAAAATTGTATTATTGGAGCACATTGAGAGAATACCGGATTAGGATTATTTCAATTTGTATTTTCAAACAATAATGATTGCAGTAAATATTAATTTTCCATTTATTTCTTTATTTAACAGCTAAATCAAGAACCCTATGAACCTCCACCAAACAAGAAGAATCCCAATGATGAGGAAAGCTGTCAGGATTGCTATGCCAATTTGTGCAAGGTAAGTTAATATCACGCACACACACACAAAATAGACTCCAAATCATTTTTAAAATTTCTTCCCCCCTTACACCACATTTAGGTTACAACCAAGGGCAAAATCAAGGCCTTACTGAATAAAAACTTTTTACGTATGTGGCGTAATGTCGGTGTGATGCTATTCATTTTTGCCTTACCTGTCATGCAAGTTATTCTGTTCTGTTTGGCCATTGGTCGGGATCCAACAGGTTTGAATTTGGCCATTGTTAATGGTGAAATGAATAATACGGTGAGTTTGGATGTTTATAAATAAAATGAAATGACAAAACAACAATAATAAATATTTAAATTTGTTTTTTGGACGGATAGGAAAATTGTTACTGGGATGATGGTTGCCACTTTACCAATTTGGGTTGTCGTTATTTGAATCACTTAAATCACAGCGTGGACAAAACGTATTACACGGACATAGAAGATGCCAAGGAGGCGGTGCGACTGGGCAATGCATGGGGTGCCATTTATATAACGGAGAACTTCACAGACGCCTTTACTGCCAGAGCTGCCTTGGGTATGTTTTATGCGGGAACTAAGATTCAAATGTTATAGCTTTGCTTGTTTCTGTTGCGTAGGTCGCGACTCGGATGATGAGACCATCGATCAATCGGAAATTAAAGTCTGGCTGGATATGTCTAATCAACAGATAGGTGTTATGCTTAATCGTGATATTATGTTGGCCTATCGTGATTTTGCCATGGGTCTGCTGGAGCAGTGTGGTAATAATCCAAAACTGGGAGATGTTCCAATTCAGTTCAAGGAACCAATTTATGGTACCATGAATCCATCGTTTACTGATTTCGTGGCTCCAGGTGTTATTTTGACGTGAGTATTTTAGTGTCAAACAAAAAATAAACGATTGTAATGACCACTTGTATTTTTCAGCATTGTTTTCTTCTTGGCGGTGGCCTTGACTTCATCGGCTTTGATCATCGAACGTACGGAGGTAAGTCCTGAATTTTATTTAAATGTTTCCTGATATCTAATGGCTGGTTGCTTTAGGGTCTTTTGGATCGTTCCTGGGTAGCTGGCGTAGCACCAAGTGAAATTCTACTCTCCCATGTGCTCACCCAATTCGTGGTCATGTGTGGCCAGACAACATTGGTGCTCATCTTCATGTTGGTGGTCTTTGGAGTCACCAATAACGGCGATCTGATCTGGGTTGTGGTTTTGACCCTGCTGCAAGGTCTGTGTGGTATGTGCTTCGGTTTCCTCATCTCTGCAGTGTGTGAACTGGAACGTAATGCCATTCAATTGGCCCTGGGTTCATTCTATCCAACACTGTTGCTGTCCGGTGTTATTTGGCCCATTGAGGGCATGCCAATTGTGCTAAAGTAAGTTTTTTGTACTTTCAGCAAAACATTTCCTAATTTAATATCATTTCCTTATTTGTTTTGCAGATACATCTCCCTGTGCCTGCCCTTGACCCTGGCCACATCATCGCTGCGTTCAATATTAACACGAGGATGGGAAATTGCCGAAACAGAGGTGTACACCGGTTTCCTCAGTACATTAGCCTGGATTTTAGGATTCTTAATTTTAACATTGGTGGTGCTGCGTTCGAAACGAAATTAAGAGTTTCGTTAAAACATGGATCCCTGGGATCTTTAAACAACCTGACAAAGGCTTTTGTATACTTAAATATTCCTCCCACTTTGTTGTCTTCTGTTCTCTCTTTAATTTATTTGATCTTTGTTTTCTCTCTCCTTCATTTAGAATTTCTCTTGAAATTATGTCTCTTCTCTCTCTCTCTCCTTTTTTTTCTCTCTTTTTACAAAAGCCTGAATTTTGTAAAAATTATCGTTAAACTAAAGAGAAATCAAAAAACAAACAAACTAGTATAATTTTTTTGTTTAATGAAATAAGTTAACAAGTCCTAAAGTTTATTATTATAATAATTTTTTTTATTATTATTATCATAATTTGTATTACAGCTGTCCGAGTGTACAGCTCGCAGAGACGACGATGACGAAGTAGAAGAAGAAGATAACATATAAGAAGTTGAAGTAATCATCAGTTTTAAGCTAGATTTACTAGGTTAAGGTGCATTGTGTATTTTTTTATTTTGTCGAAAATCAACCCTCATCACTCATCCGATATTTAAGCATCACGAACAGTAAAACAAAATGTCAAGAAATGTCAACAAAAATATTGTCACAAAAGTGCCTTTATTTTGTTATCAGAGAATATCTTTTTCATATTTTAATTAATTAGAACCAGTTCATTAATATATGTATGTATGTGTGTATTTTGTATGACAAAGTATGGTTAAGGTTTTAAATTTTTTCTATATACATATATATAAAAGAGTATATATAAGGCAAAGTGTACATACAACAACAAACATATTTCCTAATAAAAATTTGTCAAAACTTATCTGTCAATTCGTATAATTTTCTCACTTTGTCTATCTCCCTCACTTTCTATTAACAATCTCTCTATTGATTTTTGTTTGGGAGAAGAATTTTCAACATCAATTTTGAAATATGTTGAGTTTTTTTAGTCAAATTGGTTCTCGCTCCCAACACTACATCCTTATTTCAATACCAGTTTTTTTCTCTCTTTCCCCCCTTTCTTTATTAACACTCCAAAAGGACTGTGATTAGTGTTTGTTTCTCTTCATTCGCTCTTGTCTCTCTCTCTAGTAATACACAGTGTGTTTTTTATCTCATTATAAAATATTTCACAATTTTTATTCCATAATAATTTAAAAAAGAATATTTTTGAAGAGAAAAATTAATAATATTATTGGAATATTATATTGTTTTTCATTTATTGTGGGGAAATATAAATATATATTTGTATGTAGTAGTAGTTTTTTTTAAAGAAAGATATCCTTAAATTATCTGTCAACGAATTCGAAAGAGACACTTGTCTTGTCAAGATTACTAAACTTGGTTTTTTCCATAATTTGTTTAAATATATCTTTCTCATTTGTATTAGATATTTAGTGAATATTTGTAAATTTACCATTTGTATAACGAAATGTAGATTGCAAAAATATTATATTATAAATTGAGCTTTTTACAATAAAAATTCTGTGAAAATATTAAAAAAAATTGCTGATGTGTTTTATTTATTTTTAAAGTTTAATTTAAGAAATTTTTGAAATATTAAGATAGGCTTCAATAAAAAGCATCGACACAGCTGCTGAGACAATGAACTGTCAAACCAATTTTGAAAATGAAAATGTTGAATATAAAATTTCTAAGAGTTATTGAAAAATTCATATCATATGGTCTGTTCCAGATCTGAAAGAATGTAAAAATTTTTACTACGATAACCTATTTTCCCTTTATGATATCGAAAAAAATTGCAAAAGTTGTGGATTCTTGCAGGTTCTGGAATAGAGCAATAACAACATGCATATCATTGAAAAACAAAAACATTTTAAACAAATAAAAAAGCTGTAAGTTCGCCGGGCTGCACTTTAAATACCCTCCACCATTTGGAACGAATTTGGCAATTTTCAAAAAATAAATTCCGTTAAAAATTCTGTTAAAAACTTAAAAATACCCAATGTAGCCGTCATGATAGGGTCTAAACGACGACGTGGACCTGCATAGGCAACTTTGTCATAAGCCACTACAATATTCAAATGCGAAACTTGGACAAAAAATCGGCAAATAATGTAGCTAAAATCATTGATATAGGGAGTTACTATACCAAAATATGGAACAGCCTAAAGCTGCAGCATCCATTACGAACTTCAAATACCAAATTTGAAACAATTCCGATTAATAATGTCGCTAAAATCATCAAAATACCGAATTTCGGTAGGTACCGTTATATGGGGGATTTACCTGGATGCACAGACAATTTTCTGTCATAGGCTGAAGTATCCATTTCGAACTTCATACAATACCGGTGAATAATGTCGCTAAAATCATCAAAATACCGAATTTCGGGAGGTACCGTTATGTGGGGGCTATATGAAAACGTGGACCTACATAGCCAGACAGACGGACATCGCTAAATCGACATAGAATTTTACGCTGATCAAGAATATATATACTTTGTTGGGTCTGACATGAGTATTTCGAGGAGTTACAAACGGCATGACAAAGTTAATATACCCTCCATAGTATGGTGGAGGGTATACAAATATTTGAAATATTAACGAATTGATAATTTGTATTATTTCAAAATATTTTGGAGTATTTTAGATTTTGAAAACCTTATTTCAAAACTCTACGTCAAATAAAATGGAAGTGATTTCAAAAGACAGACTGATATCGTTATGTTGATCATGAATATATATGTTTATGGGGTCAAATGTAGCAAACGAAAAGACAAATTAAATATACCCTCCTTTCAAATACGCATGGGTAGTAAAATACAATTCGACTCATTAAGATTTGTTTGGTGTAAACGCGAACATATAAAAAAATCCACGGACTACGAATATATGTGCTATTATGGGGTTTAAAATATTGTTTTAATAAATTCGAAAATTAAACAAATATAATATACATTCGCTCTCTTACCCTTTGTAATCGAGTGGTTAAGAGAAAAATGTGTCATTCCAAGAGAATTGATATCTGCTGAGTAACAAATGAACAACAGGTGATTACAAATAGGGATTTCTAGTTCCAGTCAAAATAACAAACAAACAATTTTTCGATCTATCGAACCCTTCTCTAGTTGTTTTTGTTTTGATTTTGATCTTTATCACTCTTCACCATGCTCTTTAGTGAAGATGTTCAATTTTCTCTCATATCTCATTCGTAAACAACACAGTACCCCGAGTCTTTGCTTTCTGTTTATTTTTTATCGGGTATTCCTCTGTGGCCTTCATATTCGTTTCGTTGGGACGTTTTTCATTTTTGTTTCAACGTCATTGTTTCCAACACCGGAGAAGTCTTTGCAGGAAAAAAAGTGAAAAAGTTATTAAATTTGGAAGAAATATGTTCCAATTGTGTGGATAAAGTGGATAACAATAGATTTCGTTAACGTCCACACCATGGACAAGACCAATATTGTGAATACTTTCACCGAGGCTGTGGATCAATTGCGAAACACGGAATGCAGGTGCGTCCCATCCGGTTGTAATTAATTTGCATTTTGATGCAATTTACATTGCCAAACATTTGTTTTTTGTTTCCTACAGCGAAAAAGAGAAAATAGCTTGCTTCCAGAAAATTTCGGAATGTATTACCTCACCGCTGATGCATGGCCACCTCAACTATGCCACATTTTGCAGCAAGGCGACCAATATTTTATTGTTATTTTGCGAAGATTTGGATCCAACATGCCGAGTGCATGCAGAGGAGAATTTGAATAAAATATTTCGGGTGTTAGAGAAGACAAGGGCACATCGCATATTAATGGATTTGTATGGAGAGATAAAAAGGAATGGTAATCATAGGTAAGTATGATGATGACGCAGTGAAAATGTTGTGTGTGGTTTTGTATGCTACTCTTGGGCGATGAGTGTTCAAGTGATGTGTACAATAGGGTGGTAGAACTAACACCAATAATAACACAGTAGCATGTAAAATTCCGAAAATTCCGGCACATAACAATTAGGGGGGCTTAACTTGTTCCGTACAAAAACGATAAAATCGGAAGACGTTGTTGTGATAACGCCAAGCCTTTAATTTTTCTAAGCCTATTTTATGAAATACTTCCAATTTCGAATAGATTATGACCGGTACAAACATATTTATTAATTTAATTACCATTAAAATGAATTCTTTTTCATACAAAACACCTCCGTAGCATTTAGTTTTTAAGAACCCCTTAATATTAGAATTAGAATGGTAGAATGGTAAAACAAACATTTTATAATCTTCCTAATTAAACCTAAAAATCCCAACTTCGGAGAAAATTTCCAGCAAAAGAGTATATAACTAATAGAGACATTTTATAACCTTTCCAATGATTTTGAAAAAAAGAAAATTATAACGCGATCTACACTAATGTTAAATTAACAGTCCGATAAATCTTAGTATTAAAAAAGACTTAATTTTCAATTTAGTTTATTAAATGTTTGCGATGATATTGGGGGTTGGATATGCTTTTCGAGGGAAAGTTGAAAATACGTAAATAAACGTGGTATGAAAACCATATTTTTTATAAAAAAATCTTTCGTTTCATAATTTTAATAATGATTTTATTCTTCATTTTTCAATATTTTCAACAAAAAAGAAAAAAAATAAATATATATAAAAAAATTGAATCGATTTAACTAAAATATATCTTGATGCCAATATTGTACCATTGAAATGCATGTACTTTTTGCAGACGTAATGACATTCCTTTTTTATTCCTATAACCCTATTGTATTTAATCATCAATTATTCTATTATTTATTTTTTAGATCACTCCGCATATGCCTGCGAATATTTGGCTACTATGCACCGCGTATACGTGAACACAGTGTGCGTTGGTATGCACAAAATCTTTGGCCCTGTCTGAGAGTTATAAGCAGACGCAAGGAAACCTTACTGCAGGAGACCCTGAGCGAATTTGTCGTGAAATTCGGAAAATACATACAACAAGGTTTAACCGATAGCGAAACTTGTAAACTTTTCGAGGTAAGAATCAAAACTTTATAATTCATTAAGAATAGTGTGTGATGTTATTCTTTTTATTTTATTTCAGGCATTCATAGAAAACATAGGATCCGATTGTGCCGTAAAACGTAGATGTACAGCTCAAAACTGTATTAGCTTAATTGAGTATGCTAGCAACAAGCCTTTGATGGCTAAATATGCCCTTAACAAAGTGTTGGGTAAGACAGTCTCTGCAAATTCAACAAATAATCCATTCACATCACTAATCGTATATATTTTTTTAGAAATTCTTATCGCTGACCAACAACCAAATACAGTTATTGGCGTTTTGGGTTTCTTGCGACAATTGGTTGTTGTGGTCATCAAAGGTTTGACCCTGGATAACAATGACAACGATGATACATTTGCCACAATTAAATCTACAAAATCAAATAATTCAGAGGAATCTCGTCAGCTGCTGGAAATATACGACTATTGTTTGTATTTAGTTAGCTCTACTCCCTCATCCCAACATTCCATTATAAATGCAGCATTGGAAGTGATAAATTCAGTACTACAGTCATTGGAGGGCATTTCTGCAAAGGACACAAAAAATACCCTACACATTGGACCTCAGCTATTGCAATGGATCAATGATAAAAATTTAAAACATGCTTCCATTCTACGCAACAAAAACACACTAAAACATAGAATATTTAGTGTGGAACAATTTGATGAAGTAGATAGAATTGGTTTAACTACTGGAGGTAGGTATTGGAATATTTTTATGGTGTGATAAATTCATAACAAAAACGAAATTAACACAATCATACACAGCCGTATATGTTCAGCTTCAGTAAACTAATCATTTCACTAACATGACATACATTTACATTATTTTAAATATTATTTTGTATATCGTTGAAAGGTAATAGTTATGTAAGGTTGGGAGTATCTTACAACATGATTTAAAATGTAATTATAAATTGTTATTTTTAATTTTTTCCAACATGCTTTTAAAGTACATACATTTTATTTAGAAATACGATTGTCAGTACCCACAACCTCAAGCTGGACAGACTGAGAGCTTTCACTATGAAAATATAGAGAATGTTACATGATACCTTACATAGGTTAAAAAAGAGATTAAATGCAAGACATGTATTAGGATAATGTGACATATATTTTATGTTTATGATCTGTAGTTCCTAAAGTGAAAAAAATTTACCTCAGCCGGCTTAAAAATTTGAGAAAAGATATAGAAAATATTGATGACAAGAGAAGTTAGTAGGAGGTTACTTTTTTGGCAATATATGTGCAAATATTCGGTAGAAATTGAGTACTTTTTTTGAAGTTTTATATACGACAGTCAGCGTTAATTCAGCGACCACAAACCTCAAAGTAAAATTTGAGTGGTTAACTTTAAATTTTTTGTGTAATATTCGGGTTCTCTATATTTGTTTGAGACACTGTTTCAAAATATTAGGTATTTGTGTTTGTATATTAGAAATTTTGCGGTGAAAATGTGGTTTAAACTTACTAAACAATCTTAAAGAATGTGAAGCTGTTTAGAAAATTTAAAGAAGAATTTAAACTCTGATCATTCTCTTAGAAAGTTTCTTATCTCTAACTAGTAAAGAGATAGGGAGGTAGTCATACAGTTTTGACAGACAGGATCCAACTTATTTCATCTGAGAAGATCTTCGAGTCGAGCTTTCCAATAAAATAATACAAAGCCGCCCGTTAGACTTTCCTGGACCTGGAGTGCATTCCAGCTCCTATGTATCATGAGGTCGGAGAAAATGGGAAACTATTCTATAACGGTTAGAGCAATTTTGACGACTCCAGTCCCGTGTTGCATACAAAGAAAACTGGTAGTAGTTTTGAATACAAAGTCTAAACGGAGACTTTGTTGATACCGCGGGTTTAAGTCATGCCTAATTTTGTTAATTTACTCCGTGTAGGAGTCAGCAACTGCTTCACTCGGAGACATTTGGTCCATTATGTTCATCCTAGTTGCTGTTGATAGGAGATATATATACAGAAGTAATGTTAGCAGGGTGATCTGTCTGAGAATGTTTGTGACCTATCAAATAGACTATGTCACTTGTTGGATAACATGGGACATTTTCATAATAGGGTTTCACTCGTCTATACCTCTTTTTATACCCTTAGCCATATGGCTAGAGATAGTATATAAACGTGCCTAGTCGAAATAATGGTTTTAGACTCTAGATCTATTTGGACCAAATCCGTTTCAGGATAGTTGGAGTTGAATTAGCGATGTCCGTCCGGTTGTTTGTCGGATTGGTGCGCACGATAATTCTTGAAGAAAGTATCCGATTTGGTCCAAACATCGTAATATTATTGTCAAACTTAGATCGAGTTCGGAGATGGGCAAAATCGGTCCTTCCTTCCTCTTTCTGGTACCTCCCCCACAAAAGTTCGAAGTTTACAAAGAAAATATTTAACTGCACAGAGAAAGAACGGACAATTCGATTTTGCTACAAATTTGCAATTCCTAATATTTGCATCAGTTCTTGGTCAGGTGCGAAAATGGACAATATCGGTCCACTCCATCAAGTACCTCCCCACAAAGGGATACAATTTTTAATAATTATAATTCTTATAGTGTGATGTAAGAGACCGATTGCCTTTAAATTACACACAAGAGAATATTTTCTTCAGTCCACTCCTTCTGGTACCTCCCCCAGAAAGGGTCAACATTTTGAATATCCATAAAGCTCATAAAACCGGAAATTAACGTCCGATTCTATTCAGACTTGGTACATCTTAATAATTCCATCAACACAAGATCTGTTATAAAAAAGGAAGAGGTCGGACCATTCCCTCTGGTACCTCCCCCACAAAGGTTCAAAGTTTTGAATAACCAAAACGATTATAATATCTGAAATAAACATCCGGTTATATTTATATTACTCACATCCCATTATTTCTACTAACACAAGATCTGTTATAAATATGGGTTTTATCGGTCCACTCCTTCTGGTACCTCCCTCACAAAGGGACAAAATTTTGAATATCTATGGAGCTTATAAAACGAGAAATTAACATTCCATTCCATTCGGCCTTGTATTATCTCAATATTTCCATCAACACAAGATCGGTAATAAAGATGGTAGAGATCGGATCATGCCTTCTGGTATCTCCCCACATAGGGTTCAAAATTTTGAAAAACCAAACCCTCAAGGAAAGCGTAATAAGTATCCAATTCTCTTCAAATTACACACATACAAACATTTTTGCTACCACAAGATCTGTTGTGAAGATGATATGTATCTGCGAACCCATTCTGATACCTCACCCACTACAAGTGTCAAAATTTTCAATACTTTTAACTATCATAACTTGCGAAACAAGTCAGCAATTCTTTACAACTTGCTATATCTAAATTTTCTCTCAATCAGAAACCTGGGGTGAATATTAAATTTATGATTTCGCATAAAATTGGAAATAAATGTTCGATTTTCTTGTAATTTTGTCCATACCAATATTTTTATCTGTATTAGATGAGGTATGAAAATGGAATACTTCGCTTTGGATTGAGGATTGGTGGTGAGGTTTGGTGGCTCTTTCCGAAACCTAGGTATTCCATGCCTTACCCCCTGGTAAAAATTACCATTGTTCTCCACTAATAAACAAACGTTGTTTTTATAAAAAACACCAATATTTTTTTATTTGATCTATTTTCAATTTGTACAGTAACCTAGACAATAGGGACTACTCTAAATTAATTATAATACCCTTCATCTTAAAAGTCTTATTTAAAATTAGACATTAAAAAAAAAAACAATTAACAATTGAATGACGGTTCCAAAAACTTCTATAAACGACAACTCTTTACTTTTTAAACCTTATTTTAAACTATACATTAAAACAAAAACATGGCGTCCTATAATTAAGCCTGACAATCTTGCAACAATAAAAATTGCCACATACCTTATATAAGGTGAATGAAGCAGTCGATATAGTCCAAAACTGGCACATCGCAATATTTATATCATATTTATTTAGATCCGATATGAAATGGACAATATTGGCCCATTCCTTCGGAACTTACTCCATAGAGGGCCTACAATCTAATATTTAAAAAATCGAACATTGGCTGAGGACATACATCTGTCGGTAAAATCGACTGATATTTTCTAACTCGTTAAATATGATGAATAACCCAAAATATCGAGAATATTCTGAATACGCTTACCAATTTGAATGTGACTGTTTTTACAAAAACAAAAAAAAAAAACTTTATTTAAATATATATTTTAATTTAAATGTATTAACTTTCATTTCCGCATTAGAAATCCCTATTGGAAGTAACACAACAAATTATTGAATTCTATTCCAATTAAAGCATAGCTAACTAACACTCAATAAAATCAATCCTCTTCTTAATATTACTCCCAATAACAATTTGTAATCTGCATTGACTAATAAATATCCATGTTTGGAATTTTTGGTTCTTTATTTTATTGTTATTGTTGTTGATATTATTGTAGTATATGACAAACACCTATTCATACAAAAGAAGAAAAAAAAAAACAATCTCACACAACATGAGTGTTATTATTCGGTGTATTAAATTCTTTTTCGCAACTATTTTCCTATTCCATTTCTCTTTGTCTGCTTCTGTTGTATGTTTCTAACGTTCGATTGCCTATGTCTTGGGCGTGTGTGTGTGTCTATGCTTACTTGTGGTTATATTTCGAAAAGATATCACAGCATCGCAAACATCCAGTGATATTATCCTATTGCAACCACACCAACGACAACAACAACAGCAGCAGCAGCAGCATTTGAATGCGGCAGCGAAAACATCTGGCATTGGTGTGGAACATCGTTCGAAAAGACATACGGCTCGCAGCATTAGTGAATGTGTCGATATTGATTATGTAGATGAAGATGGGACACCAGCATCATCCTCAGCGATGACAGCCAATGCTAATAGCAGCAACAAGAATGCCGATGCCGATGATGATGAGAATGACGAGGACGACGACGATGGAGATTTTACAACATTGTCTGAAATGAATGATGATTCGCAGCACACACAGCCCTCATTGTTAGGAAACATTGATTTCACCACAAAAACCTCTTCAAGTGTAATCAACGAAACTATTTCCGGCCTTGTTGATGGTTCGGCGGCTTCGAAGATACAGCAACGGCATCAGGATGATGTTGGCAGCGATGGTGGTGGTGGTGTTGGTGCCACTGTTGATGGTGATAGACAAAAATTCCTTGTCAACTTTTCGTCAGATGATGAAAAGTCAACTCAACTGTGCAACACAGACAATGAATCTCTGAATAGTATTGAATTTAAGGCTGACATCTCCAGGGGTTTAGTAGTTCAAGGTGTACATTCGAGGAGTGATTACAACAATGATGATGATCAGCAACAGCAGGGCAAAGCGGAGGAGACATCAAAATCGAGCAGCACTGATGCATTTACCACATTCTTTAATAACTTCAATGCAGGTAAATAAGTCAACAACTGTTTTTTCCCTAAATGTAAACGATGGAACATGTATTCGATTCCACGAATACACCTTAGCATGCTAATATTCTTAATGACGTAACATTGACATGAAATTAGTATTGTTTAGATTACACAATTGGAATCCAATTGGATTTTTTTTTTATTTACAAAATAGAATTGCAAACTAAATTAATGTCACACACATTTTTACAAATTCACATACTATAATGAAGCACATTATGCACTAGAAAAGAATGATGTTTAATCAATTACCATAGATCTACGAAAATTTAAATCCATATCGTTTAAAATGATCCATTAGGTTTGGAAATTCAACATATTTTTTCATTCAATCATTTAACTTGTAAAAAGAAAGTAGACAGACAATTAATGCATGTCCGCATCTTTAATATTCCTGCCTGTCCTTGAATATCGGTTTAAATATATCTTCCGCAGATTTATGCCATTTTATATAAGTGATATAACAAATGTGTAAACTTTGTCCAAAAATCTCCCAATTATAGTTAGATGGGCATGCAGTAGGAATTTTGGGTCCCCTATTTTAAGGGCTCAAGTTTGGTTTAACACCCCCTAAAAGGGTTTACACCGATTTCAAGTACTTTTTATACTTAAGCCATATTTTCCAAACAAATTTCGGCAAATTTTGGTAATTTGAGTTCTTAGTAAGAAAAACTATCCTCGCAAAAATATCAATATAGACGTTTTACTATAACCCTCAGTCATTACCTGATATCAGTTATTTCCGGGGCCGTGGCCACATTATGTAATTTATTATACCCTCAGCCACATAACTAGAGAGGGTATATATCATTTGATACGGCCAAAACGTGCCTAATCGAAATAATGACTAAATACGTTTCAGGACATTTGGAGTCCAAAATCGAATTTCTTTGACTTAAATACCCATCCCATTCTGTAGGAGGGGAATTTGTCAATCATCACTAATCTTATGTCCCGAGCCTCGATTTCGCGATTTACGCGAAATTTGGCAGATGATTAGAGTTTCAAATATAAAACAACTAAAAAAGCTACATATAAGTTCGGTCGGCCGAGACGAACTTTGAATACCCTCCACCATTTGGAACGAATTTGGCAATTTTCAAAAAAAATAAAATCCGCTAAAAATTCTGTTGAAATCTTAAAAATACCGAATGTAGCCGTTATATTTGGTCTATACGACGACGTGGACCTGCACAGAAAATTTTCTGTCATAGTCTGTAGTATCCGTTACAAACTTCAAATACCAAACTTGAAAGAATTCCAGTGAATATGTAGCTAAAATCGTCAAAATACCGAATACCGGGAGGTGCCGTTATATGAAGGCTGCATGAAGACGTGGACCTGCTCATACAATTTTCTGTCTTATGCTGTAGCATCCATTACGAACTTTAAATACTAAATTTGAAACAATTCCGGTGAGAAATGTGGTTAAAATCATCAAAATACCGAATATCGGGATGTACCGTTATATGAGGGCTATACGAAGACGTGGACCTGCAAGGACATTTTTCTGCCATAGGCTGTAGTATTCGTTACGAACTTCGAATACCAAATTTAAAACATTTCCGGTGAATAATGTCGCTTAAATAATCAATATACCGAAAATAGGGAGGTACCGTTATATGGAGCCTATACGAAGACGTGGATCTGCACAGACGGGTTTCTGTCATATGCTTTAGTGTCCATTAGGAACTTCGCTTAAATCGTCAATATACCGAAAATGCCCATATAATGATACCTCCCTTATATGGGAGCTATACCAATATGTGACCTACATGGTCCATTTTCAATACCATAAGTCCTTCAGACATAATATACATTTGGGTAAAATTTTAAAATTAACCTACTTCATTTTGTTCAGAAGCTAGATATACTTTGGGGGGTCTAAAATGTATATTTCGAGGTATATAGTGTAGGGTATAAAAATGTTGTGTGTCACGATGTACAGCTATTCCAAGCCTGAATCTGAACCAGGAGGAATTATTACATAATCGGAATAGTTCAAATATATTTTTTGCTCGCTTGTTCTTCACTGTATTTCGTAAAGTTAAGAGTCCTGATTGGCAAATCGACTCTAAAATACTTGAAAAGTATGCCTTGACTTAATTAATACTTATTTGAGTTTGTTCTAGTACAATTTAAGCTTTGCTTTTAAAATGGAAAAAAAATTCAAAAATTTATTTTCGAATATCAATTATTCTTTTAATAAATAACTATTTTCCTATAGACAGTATCATATTTGATTTTATGGCCATGTCGTGTTTATCAAATTGTGTTACAGTTTCTTGAAACACAAGCAGCATCGATATATGGCTAAGTGAAATGCAAAGCAATTGCATTACACACGATATCATGTTGGGTTAAAAGTTTTATTCCTTAAACGAAAACAAATACGAGTGGAGTCTGGAAAGGGAGAAATGTAAGAATTTATTAATGAAACAAAATTTTCCAAAGATAGTTTTAACACTTTTTGGAAATGCAGACATAAATCATTTAAACAAATTATTAAACAAACTGAAATTTTTCATAAATTTCTCTTTTGTTCTTCAATGTAATTTTCCATAAATTTCTCTCATCTACCTCCTTCATTGCATACATCCATCCGTTGCGAATAACCAACCATTTGTGGGTTATCCATTTCAATTTCATTTCTTGTTGTTGTTGTTGCTGTAGTTTTTGTTCTGCTTTCAAAACTTTAACCACAAGAAGGATGTTGCATGTTAAAATGTAATTGTTGTTTATTTTAAAGATGATCATCGTCGCTGTCCGAACAAACACTTCTTCCTGCATCTTTCGATGATGCTAAACGAACAGGAAATACATTTTCATTTTTTTTGTGTATGTGTTGTGTCTCTGGTCATTGTTCGGAACGGAATGAAACATTTACAAAAATATTTACTTAAAGCATGTTGTGCATGCCACAATTGCCAGTCTGCTGTTTTAATAGTTTATGTTCTACTTACTACACATATGTATGTATGTATGTGTGTATCTTTGTAGAGATATGTGCATGTTTGTTGTTAACACTTTTAAAGTTTAAAGCTTGAGGATGCATGAAGAGGATTTTACTCTAAATTTTGGAATTGTTTTTGTTACAGCTTCTGAATCTGTTACGAAATTATTTCGTCCCAGTGGTTCCACTTCATCCAGTGCTTCGAAAAATGTCATCTCTCCATCGACTACGGCTGACTCGCTGTCTTTGGCCTCAAATGTGAGTTCCCTAAAACGTACAGGAACCGAAGTGGAAGTGATTGAAGATTCATCTCCGGAATCCAGTAAAACATTTCCAACACCCTCAACGGCCATCATGGGAGAGATACGTTCTTTGGATTCAATTGACATTCTGAGTACCACTGACCACAGACCGAATGAAGGAGTAACACCAAAGGATACTCCCTCGAGGATAAGCAGTAAATAATCAAGAAATTGCATATTTCAAAAAGACACATTTTTTGTAATTTTTATTCTAGAAAATCCTTTCCTTAACACTTCCCCTGCGACAAGAGATAATGTGGAGTTACCAATTCTTCCTGTTGACATTGGCAGCCCCTATGAACAAGCTTTAGTTATATATACCGCACGTTTGATAGCAGCAAGATTTCTATTAACGGGAAACCCAAAAGGCTTGTACGACGATGCGACTGTCAGAGTTTCAATAAAAAATATTTGCCTAAATGTCATCTCACAATGTATCCGTTTACGTCCAGAAATATTGGAAATATCATTGAAGTTCATGCAATCGGAAAAGCTACAAGAAAAGTGTACTTTCGAAATGGCATCTGATCGTCAGAGCCCTTTGCAAATCCCAAGTGATTCCAGCTCCAATGTTGGTCAAGACTATGAACATTTGGAGGTGATTACAACTGTGGAACAACCTCTGTCAACAGAAGTTCCTAGAAAATCCTCTTTTACCCAATTGGACGTTTTTCGCATGGACGATGGCAATGAAGCACCTCTATTGGAAATCATTGACGATCATTTTGGCAAAAGCCCAAATGATTTCAATTTCACTGCAACCACAACATCTACAACAATGACAAGAAGTGCCGATCCAATATTGTTTAGTAAATCCGAAGACACTTCAAATAGTTCTCCAATTATGAAAACTAAAAAAGATAAATTGTCCACCTCTGAGATCTTGGGAGTTGATACAAAGCTAAGGGGTTTTGTTGAAATCACAAATGCCGATGAAGATATGCCTCCAGAAATGTTACCACCCAAACCTCCAAAGAGAACAAAAACTTTTCGTAAATCCCAAAAATACAACAATGCAAAGAAGAATGAATTGAACTACGGCTCATCAACTACTATCATGGGTGGTATACAATATATACAGGATATTTTATATTTTTACAATCACGAAGACCCGATTTTACGTGCCGGAGTTCAGAGTATCATTGGCCATTATTGTAGATCCAATCAAGCTGGTCTTATTGGAAGTTCGAGAGTAAATTTACAATATTTATTGGCCATATTGTGTGTGGTAAGTGGAATATTTTCTTTTTTGACATAACTAGGTTTAAACGCAATTCGTCTATGATAATACAGTAATAAAAGCTTCTCTTTGAAGCCAATTATAAGAAATATGTCAAAGACGCGATTTCCATCTTATTGACTTATAATATACAGGAATTTGATGTATAATTACTGAAAAATATATTTAAAGAGTCCAAATGTAGTTAGTTCCTTTTACATATTCAACCATTACGTGGCCATACCATTTTTTTTAAATAAATTCAATCCTTAGTGCGGCTTTTAAAATCATACCCATGTACGATCACTTTAAGTGCAATGCAAATGCCTTATAACGTTTAATGAATGCGAGAAGATGGAGAAAAGGTCACAGAAAATGTACTCTGGCCTTTGCGGAAATTCAATCTGACATAATTCATTTTCTTGTCTGTGTGCTGTACACCCAAACAAACACACACATAGCCATTTGCATTTCTTAAAGGATATTGTACATTCTTGGCATGTTCAATTTTGTTCACTTATCCACTTCTTGTTGTTCATTTTTTTTTTTGCTTCTTTCCTTTTGCTTCCAGGGCTTACAAGATGACATTCACACAGTGGTCATACAGGCTTTGAATACATTCGATAAAATATTTCCATATGTGTTATTTAAATATATGACCATTACAACAGGCGGAATGGGAGCGGCAGTGGATGCACAAGGACACAGGCAAGTCGCATGTCATCGTCATCATCAACATCATCGACATGGAAGACAACACAAAGAACCGACGACGATGCACAAGAAGGAAGAACAACATTGCCCCGAGCCAGAAAATTGTAGTGCTGCCGATGCTGCTATTCATCGAGCATCGAGTACCAAGTTAAAGTGTATTTCAGGGCACTTTAACGATAATGATGGGATTATAGCTGCGCTTTTGAATGCTTTTCAATTGCAAGCGTATATCAACAACAGCAACAACAATGATAGTCAAGCATCACAAAGCAATGAGGCTGGAGGAGCACCCCCCAATAATCATATTATGAGTAACGATGGTGGTGGTGTTGCTGCTGCATCCGTTTCCTACGATTGTTGCTCCGCCTCATCATTATTGGCAACATGTTGTTGCTGCTGCTGCTGTTTTTCTTCATCTCCAACGGCAAGTCATTGTTGTGGCAGCAACTTACTTTTCATATCACCAAAATTGCTATTGAATAAACTTCGTCTGTGTCACTACAACAAATATTGGTTGGTCCAAAATAAATATGCCGAAGTTATTTCAAATTTAAATTATGCTTCACTACATTCTTATTACGGAAATAACTATACCACCAACAACAACAAGACCAGCTGCAGCTTTATCAAAGGCCTTTGCTGTTCAACATCTTCAGACGGCTGTCAATTGGGTTGTGGCGGCTGCTGCTGTAGTGTTGGGTTATCCAATATAGTGTTGGATGATGATGATGTTGATGGTACCGATTTTGTCTGCAGCTTAGAGGTTAGTACTGTTATTATTATGTTATGTATTTTAAGTGTGTGTGCATGTGTGTTGTATTTGTTTATTTTGCCTTTATTTCTGCCTTTCGGAATATTCGCATTGATAAGAATGAAGAATGGGAGAATAGAAGCGAACGAATTCCACAAATAACCATTAAACTGTTTGAATATTCAACTACCATCTGGGTAAATAAATGCTGACTAGATATATATCTCTATATATGTGTTAGTTTAGTTGGATTACTTCACAAGTAAGTTATTTTTTTTGCATAGAATAAAAATGTAGTCTTGAAAGGGACTGAACAAAATTTGAACAGGGTCAATAATGAATATACTTTGGAGGCAGTCTTCTTGAAACAGGAATTGTCTGAAGGATCTGTGATTACACAGTGGGACATAAAATATAATTAAAGGATAATAAAATATGTTAAAGTAAGCACTCCGGGGTCTATATATTCGCAAAAGATATTTATTTTTTATTTTATTTTATTAATTTTCTCTCGTTTTTATTTCTGTTGTTAGAAATACCACCAAAATTCCGATGTAAGGCTCCGAATGAAGTTATGCGAGTTTGGTGGGGTGGGTTTTGAGTTAAAATGTCCATAAGTATACATAACTCTTAACCGGTAGTATACGTAACTCAAAACCGGTACTCTAATCGACGCAAGGGAGAAGGGGACTGAAGATCTGGCCAAGAACTCTAATCAGGGCAGATATTTCATCGAAAACGGTTGAAGCTGAAATAATCTATAACAGAAAGAAAATTGGATCAAAATGATCGAAAATATTGCCCCACAATAAATAAAGAAATTAAATGTCATTTCGCAGAAGGCACACCCTACACAGAAAATTTGTTATAGTTTTGCTGAGCTAGAAGGCATTAATTTTAATTTAAGTTTTATATAATTTGCGAAAATTTTCAATTGTGATATTAAAAATTTTAGAGTCTGATTTGTTGTTAACAATATCCCCCATACAACACAATTATATTCGTAAAAAAACTTATTCTCGGAGTCATTATAGTGATTTCATTTAAACTCTTTTCTTCGTATGTTTTTTTTTATTGAAAATTTCTTTGGTAAAAATGTATGTATGTTGAGAAAAAATTGTATCTTTTTATTGGCGTTTTGTGCCTTGAAGCATAAATAAAGGGTATTTGTAAAATAAATACTTGGTCAGGGTGAAAAAAAAGCCACAATCATTGTGAAGAAAAAGTAAATATTTTCTATGTAAACTTTATTCATGGATAGCGTGCAATAATGCATTCTCTGCATATGAATGTGGATGGTTTTTATATTGCCAGCATCAGGATATGCCGGAGAACATATTTACTTGATTTACTTAGTACTAAGTTTTTCCTCTCTATCTCTTTTTTATCATATTGGAATTCACTAAAATTTGTAATGGGGAAAAAGTCTGTGCAAATAATAGAGCGAATATTGGATACGAAAAATAACTATATATTATATACAAAGGAACACAGCGAGAAACTATTTTCACTATTTAACTTTAGAATTGAAGTCCGTTTTAATTTATTTGTTATGGGATACCCTACTCATTCTTTTAAAAATTATATAAAAATATAGTCGAAAATGTTGTTTATTATTTTCCAGCCTAGTTTTTTTTAATGTCTTTGTATTTATGTCTCTTCATTTCTAAACTAACATTGTAGAAGCATCTATGTATTACTGCTAATATATTCCTCCCATTTTCTACAAAAACTTCGTTACAGAATTCATTTATTGAAGAACTTTTACAACTGATTGCTGAAGATGATGTTCGTGTCAGAGAATGTGCCTCGAAATGCTTGTGTCGTTTTATTATCCAAAATGCCAAACATTCTAATTCACATGACCAAGAGCAACGACAACAAGAATATCTACAACAACAGCAGCGCCTTCCCTTTGTTAGTCAAGATGATGAAAATATTTTGCATCGCACATTTTCTGATAATCTGAGAATGTTACAAAGCTTCTTCGAGTACAGCATCTTCAACGATATGTCACCCGCAGTGCGTTATTTATTCAATCCCGAGAACCAACAGCGAGATGCTGATGATGTATCAACACTGTGGGATAGTAATGGTGGTACAATGACAAAGCGCAAGGAAGCCATCCAAACGGTGTTGTCCAAAGTTTTATATCGTCTCAGCAATAAGTTGATGTCACTTAAAGACAAAAATGTTCAGGTAAGTTTATAGTCTTATATAAATAACTAAAGTCAAATGAATGTCGATTGTGGTAAAAGGGATGTTAAAGGTATTACATAACAAGGACAAGTAATAAGTACTTTACAATGTTTAAATATTCAGAAATTTTGCACAAATCATTTGTTTGATCCAAGGACAAACTCTACTGAAATTGGAGATAATCGGTCAACATTTAGATGTAACTCCCATATATATCTTCGTCCGATTTACCGATTTTTATTGATTTTTATCAGCCCAAATAGTATGGAATTTTCAACATACGACCTAATTAGGCTTGAAGATAAGTATGCCAGATAATTTGTTCGAAATCGGTTCAGATATGGCTATAGCTCCCACATATATTGTTCATCTGATTTGTTATTTTTGTCCTCCGCAGCCGTAGAATGCACTCTGTAGTAACGATATTTGAGAAAATATATCAAATACAGCTCAGAAATACCTTTGCCACATTTTATCGAGATCGGATCAGATTTGGATATAGCTCCCACGATACTATGGAGGGTATATTAAGTTTGTCATTCCGTTTGTAACAAACAAATTATACATTTTAGACCCCACAAAACATATAGACATGGAATTTTATGCTGATCAAGAATATGATCAGCATAAAATTCTATGTCGATTTAGCGATGTCCGTTCGTCTGTCTGTCTGTAGAAACCAATCTAGCTTCCGAACGAAATTAAGTATTGAAAATGGGTCTGTAGGTCGGGTATTTCGGTATTTAATGATTTTAGCGACATTATTCACCGGAATTGTTTCAAATTTGGTTCGAAATGGGTACTACAGCCTAAGACAGAAATTTGTCTGTGCAGTTCCACGTCTTCGTATAGCCCCCATATGATAGTACCTTCAGATATTCGGTATTTTGATGATTTTAGCGACATTATTCACTGGAATTGTTTCAAATTTGGTATATAAAGTTCGTAATGGATACTACAGCCTAAGACAGAAAATTGCCTGTGCAGATCTACATCTTCGTATTGCCCCCATATAACGGTACCTCCTGATATTCGGTATTTTGATGATGTTAGCTACATTATTCACCTATTTTTTTTTAAGTTTCGCAAAAGTTACCTTTGCAGGTCCATGTCGTCATATAAACCCTAATATAACAGCTACATTCGATATTTTTGAGATTTTGAAAGAATTTTTATCGGATTTTATTGTTTTTGAGAATTGCCAATCTCGTTCCAAATGGTGGAGGGCATTCAAAGTTCGGCCCGGCCGAACTTACAGCTTTTTTACTTGTTAATTACACTATTTTTCCATTCTTAATATCTTAATGTTGTTTTCATTGCAGTTCGGCATCATAAACTGTATAAAACAATTGCTGGGACAATTTCCATTTGCCGATTATGCCGACGCTTGGTCAGAGTTCAGCTTTATGGAAATCTTCGTTAAATTATCTCAATATAATTACAACACTGCTGTGGACTTGGCATGTCAGAGTGATTTGATTGACGTCAGCTGTAAATTAATAGTTGGTAAGTGCATCTCTTGAACAATGCTCACAAGAAGCTGCAGCATGTCCATCACTTTAAGGCGAGTTAGTTGCTCGTCATACATAAGCGACAAGAATAACCGTTAGTTACTTAGTTCATATTATGAATGATATGATGACGATGACGACAATGCTATTTTCAAATTGTGACGTTCAAAATCTCGTATAGGTTCGCATGTTTGTGTGTGTGAATAATTTGTATATTTACATTCATATCCCGTCCTGTAATGATGCAATCTCTTGAGTTGTGTCCATTTGTGAGCCTGAAAGCAGTTTGCCAAATGTATGCCCAAGAAGTATAAACGACTGAAACGACGGCCAACGGATTTGTGAATTTATAATGAAATATTAACTGGCCAGTCTTCATTCCACAGAGGCCGGCCATAGAGAGACACCGACCCCATTCACTCACTCAGCAACTCTCCGTTTGCCATTTGCATCTACAACTGGCATTAGATGCACACACTTGAGTAAATGTGAATTAGAAATCTTAAACTATGTTCGCAAATTATATGTTAACATTTATGCTAAAAGGCTGTTAACTGCTTTCTGCCATCACTTCTGCTGACAACCACTCGTTTTGCCTACATACAGTGCGTTTGTGGAGATTGGATGATAGAAAAAAGAACCTGGAGATGAAACTTTTGAAGTTGTTATTATATTTTAGAGTCTATTAATTTTGTGAAAACTACTCTAGAATTGTTTTTTATACCTCAGCCATATGGCTAATATCGGTCTACTCCTTCTGGTACCTCCCACACAAAATGTCAACATTTTCAAAGAAAATAATTAACTGCACAGGGGAAAGGATAATTCGATTTAGCTCCAACTTTGCGAATCGTAAAATTTGCATCAGTTCTAGGTCAGGTGCAATATTGGTCTATTTCATCAAGTATCTCCCCCACAAAGGGTCAACATTTTTATAATTAGAACTCTTATAAAAGGTGATGTAAGTGTCCGATTGTCTTCAAATTACACTTATAACAATATTTTTATTAACCCAATGTCTGGTGTGAAGATGGAATATGTCGGTCCACTTCTTCTGGTCCCTCTCCCACACAGGGTAAAAATTTTGAATATTCAAGAAGCTCATAAAACGCGAAATTAATATCCGATTCCACTCAGACTTGGGACATCTCAATATTTTCATAACCACAAGATCTGTCATAAATATGGTAGAGATCGGACCATTCATTCCGATACCTCCCCCACAAAGGGTCAACTTTTTGAATAACCAAAACGATCATAAATTCCGAAATAAGCATCTGGTTCTCTTCAAATTACACTCAACACAATATTTTTACTAACCCAACTATACATGGTACACCACGCACATTTTAATATTTTCTAAAAATTATCACATATCTCATATAAAGTGAAGGAAGTAGCTGATGCAGTCCAAACCTGGCGCCTTTCAATATTTATATCATATTTATTTAGGTCATATACAAAATGAGCAATATTGGCCTATTTTTTCGGAACCTACTTCATAGAAGGTCAACAATTTGAATAGTCATAACAGAAGTCAAAATATATTTAAATAATCGGACATTGGCTGAGGGTAAACATCTGTCGGCAAAACCGTTTGATTCTTTTTAACTTGATTCATCTGATTCTTCAGCAGACAAGCTCTATTTCAGTTTTTCGTATCGAGGCTTTGGTAATTTAAACGGCCGGCATAAAGTAACAAGTGATTCTCTGAACGTAGGGTTTGCAAAGTAGTTATTTGTGTGGTACAGGCAGACCATTCCCCTTCAACGCACTGTTGTATCACTTCTACATTAGATCTCGTCGCTTCTTCATTTATGTTTTGTGCAATCTACTCAGAAATCGTTGTCGTTTACTTAACTTTGGTATTATGACTGTAGTGTAGCTACATCTGTTTGTGTAAGTATGTGAGTGAGTGTGTTGATGCAAGACTTTGTAACAACCTCTAGTTTGCCGGCTATGTGTTTGCGAGTGTGTGTGTCGCTCTGTGTGTTTGGAGAAATTTAAATAATCGCAAGGATAAACTTTGTTGTAGTGTTGATGGTTTAGAGTTTTGTTAATGGCAAATGGTTTTTAGTTAGTTAACTATGTCATTATGAACAAGTGGTTTTCTTAACTGTTTTATGAACCAACCAACGAACATACATACATATATGTTATCCAGATTTTTCCTTGCTTGGGTATGGTATTTTAGCAGAGTGCAAATATGTGAGAGTGCATGTGTTTAGGTTGGGATGTAAAATGAGAAAAAAAAAACATCTTACTAAACGATGCAATAACGACAAACATACTTGCAAAAGATTTAGCCAAATTATTATATTTGGAACATATTTTAAGAAAGAACAAAAAAATATTTTTAAACTAAAAAAATAAATAGACACAATTTTCAGTAGTTTATGGTAAGGGATTTATTAATTACCTTTTAAGCCTTCTTCGAAAAAGTTAAAAATATTCCAGTTATTTATGCACATGTTGGTAGGTATTGTTCGTATTTAGACTACAAACTTCCACAGACTATTACAAATAATGAATATAACCAGTAATACACTACACCCTTTATGATACCCTACACCACTTTGTATATTTAGAAGAGCTTCACATAAAAAATAAAGTTTTTTTGTAGGGAATTTGTGAGAAATACATCATGCCAATTATGATTATAGTTATAATTTAAAGTCCAAAGGACTAAATTTGCTGAGGCATTTGTGTCTTTTCAATTCGGGCTTGTATTAACCATTTTGTGCACAATTAACTTGAAATCAAATAAAGATATATGGGAACTATATCCAAATCTGAACCAATTTCGATAAAAGTTTCACTGATTTTGATATATTTCCCCAAATATCGTTGTTACGGATTGCATATTACAAAAATAATGAATCGGATAAATGATATATATGGGAGCTACAGCTATATTTGAACAGATTTTCACAAAATTTGACATACTAGTTTAATTAACTTAATTTGGTCTTTTACCCGTTTGGTGCACAATAAAAGACAAACCTGACGAATATATATGGGAGCTATATCCAAATCTGAACCGATCTCGATAACATTTAACAAAGGTACTTCTGAGCTGTATTTGATATATTTCCCGAATATCGTTGTTACAGAGTGTATTCTATGGCTGTGGAGGGAAACAAATCAAATGAAAAATATATGTGGGAGTTATAGCTATATCTGAACCGATTTCGACCAAATTTGGCTTACTTATTATTTATTTTCAAGGCTAATTTGGTTATATGTGCAAAATATCACATTATTTGGGCTGATATTACACATTTGGTGCACAATAAAAGGTAAATCGGACAAAGATATATGTGGGAGCTATATCCAAATTTTGACCGATTATCTCCAATTTGAATAGTATCAAACCAATAATTTGTGCAAAATTTCAACTAGATCGGGCAATAAGTACGACCTGTACTTTGCTTACAAAAATACTTGGAAAGATGGACGGACGGACATACATAATCGACTAAAAATGTGATCCTATGCAGATCATCAAAAGATCATCTCGTTTCCTTTTGCTGTTACAAACAAATGCACAAAGACATAATACCCTGACCACCTTATAATACCTATATAAATACCTATAAATACTGAATTCTGATGTTTTTAAAACATAAGTAAGGCAAGGCCAAATGGCAAGCATTTCATATCTCCCAAAATTAAAATATTGATATTATAGACGATATTCATAAAATCGGTCTGTATCTAATTCGATGTTTAGGGTATTACAATAAGAGGACTCACACCGAATGTTTGTGAGGTAAGTACCTTCAAAATACTTTGGTACTACCCTTCAGTGGAAACCAATATTGGATACTTTCCATAGGATCTTTCACTAGTAGAGAAACACGTTTTGGTTATTCCAAACATTGACCTTTTGTGGGGGAGGAATGATCCGATCTCTACCATCTTTGTAGCAGATCTTGTGTTTATGGAAATATTGAGATGTGCCAATTCTAAATGGAATCTGATGTTAATTACGTCTTTTATGAGCTTCATGAATATTCAGAATTTTGATCCTTTGTGGGGGAGGTACCAGAAGGAGTGGACCGATATATTCCACTTTCACACCAGACCTTGGGCTAATAAAAATATAGTGATATTTGTAATTTGAAGACAATTGGACACTTACATCACGTTTTATAAGAGTTATAATTATTTAAAATTTTGACTCTTTGTGAGGGAGGTACTTAATGTAGTGGACTAATATTGTCCATTTTCTCGCCTGACCTGGCACTAATGTAAATATTAGGATTTTGCAAAGTTGGAGTAAAATCGGATTATCTTTTCTCTTTCTGTTCTATCAAAATGTTGATATTTTGTGGGGGAGGTACCAGAAGGAGGAGAACTGGATCTAAGATTGACAATAATATTACGATCTACCAAATTCGGATCGAATTGGAAAATCCCTTCGGGAGCCAGACAGACACACGGACGGACATTGCTGGATCGACTCCAAATGTCCTGAAACGGATTTGATCCAAAGCCTAGGGTCTAATACCGTTATTCCGATGAGGCACGTTTTGGCCGTATCAAAGCATTTATACCCCTCCAGCCATATGGCTGAGGGTATGAAAGGCGGTTCGAGACTTAGCTAATAGTCAATTGGTACAGTTATATGAGAGATATTTCTAATCGATGTCTCGAACAAAAGCTTGCTGAAAAAATATTATCATTGCGTAGTATTAGAAAAACTGTTTAATTATCAAATTAATTATCAATTATCACCATTCCACATAAGACAGTGTTCTTCATATGCATATCATTTTATCGAACTGTATGATTTTTACCAGAATATATATTACTTTGCTGAAAAGCGCAACCCACTGATAATGTTTTCATTCCTTAAAATATATCTAAAAATTTCTTCTTTGTTTATTTTACTTCGCTGTTTTTAGGTTCCTCCATATTTTATGCTAATGACGCCGACCGGCAGTTACCACGAGATCATGTAATAAGCCTGCTTAAGCACACAATGAAAATTATAAATATTTACTATCACATATTTACCAATCAAAAGCCATTAATTATGGCCAAAAGCCAAAAAGTCGAAATATTTAGTAATGCCAAAGAATTGGCCGTAACACAGAGTCTGGGCTATTTTGGCAACGAATCTATTTATCTGAAACTCTATCAAACTTTGAAAAGTGCCTATGATAATTATAAGGTGAGTTGGATTTAAGCGCTAGCCAAAATAAACGTCCAGCCCAGAAGAAGGAGGTCATTGTTGACGGAATGTTGATAATGGCGTTCATTGTCCTGTGGTTGGATTTCTCTTCTGTTTATTTTGAATTCAATTTAATTGGGTTTTCTTGTCTTTTTTTTTTTGTCTAAATTGGTTTTTGTTCTCCCTTTGTTTTTCTTTACAAATTTATCTAGATTACGATTAATGAGGAAGCTGGCAGCAAATTAATTTCCCTTTTGAAAACAGTTCTAAACTCATTGAGTTCTTGCATTGAAATGCTGCCACATGAAGCAACTTTGTCAGCAGCATCATCAACAACAACGATAAACAGTGTCGGCGGTGGTGTAGGGGGTGGTGGAATTGCCAAAAATGCAATGGATGCAACGACATCAACAACATCCTTTACATCGTCGTTGTCTTCGACGTCATCTTTGGGACAGGCTGGCAGCAGTCAGGGCTTAGACTCGGTACCAGTATTGAAATTAATTGAAGAAACTCTTCAGTACTTGACCAAAGTCATAAATTATGCACCCGATGAGAGCATTGGATGTCTGCGACAACTGTTGAAATATTTGTTTGCCAGAAATTATGGCAACAGGCAGTACCAACAGCAACAACCTTACAAGCATCAAATGAAACAAGGCCATTATCCGGCATTTATAAAATCGTATTTTAAGGCCAAATGTAAAGAGCAACATTGTGGTCTAAGCAACAACTACAGCAATGATGATGTTGATGTGGGTGGAGGCGGCAGAGGCGGCGGGGGTGTTAGCCCAACAATACAAAACAATCAAACATCAACATCCTCCCCGGCAAATGTTACACAAAAAACATTAACAACCATACAACTCCAGTCCATAAAGTCCGGACTGTCCGGCAATGTGGATGTGTTTAGCAGCAATACTGGTGGCTATTCTTCTGCCACCGCTGCCACCACAGTTAGCCCACAAGACGATTATCTATTGTTATCCGAGTTATTTGCAAGTGGTCTGAAATATCATGCTTGGAAGTCACCACACGAAACAGAACTGGCAAGGCATATTAAGCTATTTGAACCCTTGGTCATCTACTGTTTGACGGTAAGTGTAAAGTACTTTAATTTGGAATTTAATATGTTCTGGAATTGGTTAACACGATTTGAAATGTTTAATATTAAAGACAAAAGTACGCAAATGTATTTAAGATCGTGTATTTAATTAGAAATTAAAATTATTTGATAAGATATTAAAAATAAAAGAGAAAGTCTAAAATGAATGCCATTAAAATTGTCTGATCCGCATGAAACGCTTAAACATTTGTGATAATAAAAACTATATTGGTTCGACATTGTTCAGAAAATTTCTCAGTAGATATGTTCAAAATAAGTCCATGTTTACACAATATTAACGTTTTAGTTTGTACAATGTAGGTGCTTATAGACGTCCGTTTTTAATTTTTTAAGGGTGTGTTTAGCATGCATTAGCTTAAGTTCAATCGTAATGGAGATCAAACCTAATTATAGTTAAGGCTTTGATACGACCAAACGTCCCTCCGATTTTGCTCCAACTTTGCATATCCTAATATTTGTATCAGAGCTACGTCAGGTGCGAAAATGGACAATATTGGTCAACTCTATTAAGTACCTCCTTCACAAACGGTGAAAATTTGGAATACTTATAACTCTTATAAATTGTAATGTGAGAGTCCGATTGTCTTGAAATTACACACATCACAATATTTTTATTAACCCAAGGTCAAGTGTGAAGATGCGATATATCGGTCCACTGCTTCTGGTACCTCCCCCACATAGGGTCAACATTTTGAATATCCATGAAGCGAAATCAACGTCCGTGTCCATTCAGACTTGGTACATCTCAATATATCCACCAACATAAGATCTGTTATAAAGATGGTAGAGATCGGACCATTACTTCTGGTACCTCCCCCACAAAGGGTAAACATTCTGAAAAACTAAAACGATCATAAAATCCGATATAAGTATCCGGTTCTCTTCAAATTACACACATCACAATATTTCTATTGGGCCAAAGTCTGGTGTGAATATGGGATATATCGGTCCACCCTTTTTGGTATCTCCCCTACAAAGGGTCAAAATTTTGAATTTTCATGAATCTCATAAAATGCGATGTGAATATACGATTCAGATTTGGTAAATCTCACTATTTCCATAAACACAAGATCTGTTATAAAGATGGTAGAGATCTGAACATTAATTCTGGTATCTCCCCCACAAAGGGACAAAGTTTTAAAAATCCAAAACGATTAAATATACGAAGTAAGCATCCGGATCTCTTCATATTTCACACATCCCATAATTTCTACCAAAACAAGATTTGCTGAGAAGATGGGTCCACACGGTTCTCTTCACATTTCACACATCCCAATATTTCTACCAACACAAGATCTGCTGTGAAGATGGAATATATCGGTCCACATCTTCTGGTACCTCCCCCACAAAGGGTCAAAATGTTGATTAACCATGAAATTCATAAAACGCAAAATCACCATCCGAGTCCATTCAGATTTAGCACATCTCAATATTTTCATCAACACAATATCTGTTATAAAGATGGTAGAGATCGGACCATTTCTTGTGGTACCTCCCCCACAAAGGGTTCAAGATTTTGAAAAATCTTCACATTTCACACATATTTTTGGTAAAACAAAATCTTTTGGATATAAATTTTAGTTTTTTCTTGTAATTTTGCCCATACCAATATTTTTAGCCTTATTAGATGAGGTACGAAAACGGAATACTTCGATCGGCTATATCTGTTACCTCACGCATATTTTAATATGTTCCAAAAATTTTGCACATATCTCATATTAAGTGATGAAAGTAGTCCAAATCTGTCACGCTGCTATATTTATATCAAGTTTAAATCAGATACGAATTGGTCAATATTGGCCAACAGCTTCGGAAGCTCCCCCCAAATAGTCAAGAGTTTGAGTTAACATAAGTCAAAGCTGGGGGTATACAAAACGACTGATACTTTTTGACTTGTTAAGTTTCAGTTTAGCATGCATTAGCTTAAGTAGTGGAGAGCAAACCTAGTTATAGTTATATAAAATACATTTTTGCTAGATAGCCTAAGCTATATAAGTTATTACGGCTTAAATATTACACTATATTACATTGCTTTTACACCAATCAATCTTCCTTTTTTCAGCTGTTCCTAAAATGTAATGGACGAGTTCAAGCCTCCATCCTAGATATGCTGATATTGTTACTGGATTTCAATGTTACCTACAGTAGTCTGGATTCAAAGAATGTAATATTTGAACAAATAATCAAAAGTTTGGATATAATTGAGGGGGGAATTGCACGGTAAGTTTCAAAATAAAAACAAAATATATATACATTTTGTGATGACGAAAGTCGCCCTCTCGTTTTCGCCACAACAATATTATGAATTGTTAAATAAATTAAATTTTTCAAATCATTAATAATAAAATGAATTCCCAAAACTTATTCAACTACCCCCATACTTGTTTAACAAGAAAAGTTCTAATAATTCGCCGGCCGTTAAGTTCAATGACCGATCATTTCAAGGCCACATAATTACAACATAGCCAATGACAGGCAAAGAAGAAAAAGCGACAAATACGCAAAATATGCACAAACAACTTACAAGCATTACAACGACGGTAACTGCATATCAGCAAACGACACTAACAATGCTGAATGTGAAAGTGATGTTTGGTCAACCAATGGTAAGTGCGTTGGTGGAGTTTAATAGAAGTCGTTACAGTTATCCCCACTAACAAAGAACATTGGCAGAAGACGGCAGTGGGGAATAACAACAACGAAAGGTATGTTTATTTTCCTATAAAAGGGAAAGTTAAATTAGAAAAGGGGATCAGTGAGTCATCTAAGCGAGAACAGCTAACAAGTGCGCGAATTCAAATAAACGTGAGAACGAAGCAAGTCATAGCCAGGTGAGTCAGAGTAGTGATCCCCATATCCTCCCGAACGAGTGGTGTTTATATCCCTTCGGTGTCCTTCGCGAAATTTTGATTAGAGCTAGTTGTGCCCGACTCGTTTAGTAACCCTCTGTGGAGTTGGTATCCTTTGGGCCCGTATCGTTAAATCATCGGAAGATTTCGGCTTTCTTAAATTAACCCTCTGTGGAGTGTGTATCCCTTGGGCCCCCGTCGTTAAGTTCTCGGGAGACTTCGGTTTTCTTACATTAACCCTCTGTGGAGTGTGTACCCCCTTGGGTCCATGTTGTAGAAAACTCTCGGAAGACTTCGGTTTTCTCAAATTAACCCTCTGTGGGGTGTGTATCCCTTGGGTCCGTGTCGTAAAGAACTCTCGGAAGACTTCGGCTTTCTCGAATTAACCCTCTGTGGAGTGTGAATCCCTTGGGTCCCCATCGTTAAATTTTCGGAAGACTTCGGTTCGTGTCTTTAAACCCGCGAGAGACTTCGGTTTTCTTGAATTAACCCTCTGTGGAGTGTGTATCCCCTGGGTCCCCGTCGTTGAATTCTCGGGAGGCTTCGGTTTATTTACATTAACCCTCTGAGGAGTGTGTATCCCTTGGGTCCGTGTCGTTAATTCCTCGGATGATCTCGTTTCTCCATTATTAACCCTCTGTGGAGTACGTATCCCGCTGGGTCCGACTCTTTGGACTTTCGGAACTTCGTTTCTCTGTTATTAACCCTCTGTGGAGTGCGTATCCCTTAGGTCCGTGTCGTTCACTTCTCGGAAGATCTCAGCCCTCCATTATTAACCCTCTGTGGAGTACGTATCCCTCTGGGTCTCGACGCTTTAGATTTTCGAAAGACTTCTTTTTCCCTCTTATTAACCCTCCGAGGAGTCCGTATCCCCTGGGACCCGTAGCTAATACCCCTGTAAGGCCTTATTTTGAACTTAAATCCATCGAAGGGTCCGGTGCCCCGTGGACCCCTGTCGCTAATACTCTCGTTAGCCCTTGTCTTTTGGACTTTAACCCTCTGCGGAGTCCATAAGCCGCAGGGTCCCCCCGATCTTGCTGGCTTTGCCTATCGTTGGCTTCGCCTATTGAGTCGGAAGAGTGAATCTGGAGTACTTATCCAGGTCTCCGTCGAATATTGTTGGAAAAAGGGAAGATACCAAGAACTCCGGAGACGACACCAGAGCCCTCATTGGCCATATCAACGGGAGTACTGATCCAGGTCTCCTGCGATTACGGGAACGGAAGAAGGAGCCAGTCAGCTAGAGGATTTATCCAGGACATCTCTAACGTAGGAAGAGAAGACAACCCGTACGGAGATTCTACTTCATAGATGCAACATAGAGTTTTATAATCAGCACCATATCCGCCAATAAAGCCGCAATTTGACTAAAAACCAAAACCAAACTGTGTTATCACTCTCTCGGTCACTCAATATAAATTTCTGTGACGAACTCCGGCCCCTTGCAAGCTTACCCCAGCAACCGGAGGAAATTCGTCGTTACAGTGGCGCCCGAGCAGGGACATGAGAGAGTGAAGCCGGCTTTAAGGATTGTTAAGATTATAATCTCCCAGAGAGTCACGGCAATAGTAAGATGCCGGCTACGTTGCGTGTGTCCTGGGCCTACACCCTGAGGAAGGAAGACCTACTGGCCTACTTAGAAGAGTTTGATTGTCAAACCACCGGTACCGTCGAGGAACTACGCAGGCGTTTTGGTCTACTATTGGGTGAAGAACACGAACCAGAACGACTCGAGCGACTTCTGGAATTGCAAGAACGACACGAAAAGGTGTCTCCCAACCCAGAGGCGAAGTATCTTACCCCCATAAAAACGCCGGCTATTGTATTGCCGGAACCTACGCCGTCGCAGATGGAGGGGAGGGTTGGCCGTAGCGATACAAAGAAACGACCAAATCCTCGACCTAGTACTTCGGATACTACCGCTGCACCCTCAGGAGAGATGATGAGGGACGCCAGGGCATTAGCGGAACAGGTCCGAAAGTGGGGTATAAGTTACGATGGCTCGCGCGGTCCACTCGAGTTCGTGGAACGACTGGAAGAGCTGGCTCGTATGTATGAGGTGCATCTGAACGACATGCCCCGAATGATGCCCGAGGTATTGCGGGACAACGCCCTGATTTGGTTTCGCGCCAATAACCAACACTGGCAGGAGTGGAAGTCATTCCGCGAGGACTTCTTACGATTTTTCTTACCGGCTCGTTACTTTGAACAGTTGGAAGACGAGATTAGAAAAAGGAAGCAGAAACCCCGGGAGACCTTCAAAGCCTACACCCTTAGCATGCAGAACCTCATGCGACATACGAGCTATGACAATGATCAGAAATTGGAACGAATCTTCCGCAACGCCCTCCCGGAATATTTATGGTATATCCGACGCCGGGACTTCCATACTCTTAAAGACCTGCTCGAAATGGCAGAGGATCTGGAAAGTTTGCCACCTGGGACAGGTCCTGTTAGGGAGCAACACCGTCTGTTAGATCCTGTAGAAAACGTTGAGCCGGATTCTCGCATTGACCCTAGGACAGCTTGCCGACGCTGTGGACGGAGTGGTCATTTCGCGGCACAATGTAAGAACCCACAGTTACTATTTTGCTGGGATTGTGGTCAACAGGGAGTCCGAACAATAGACTGCTGCCGATCTGCTTCGGGAAACTACAACCGGATGCGCCAGAGAAGAGGGGAGGCGGGTCCGATGAAGTAAAGGAGTGCCCTCTATCACAAACCTCACTACATGTCGAAACAACCAGGCTGGTGGCAACCATAATACTCGCGGGCGAACGGGTACCAGCTACAGTCGACACCGGAGCCACCAGCAATTTTATTAGCGAGAAGTTGAGGGATTCGCTGCAACCCAAACTCCAGAGCGTACCATATGCTGCGACGGTCACTTTAGCCGACGGATCCCAAAGACAAATTCTGGAGGCTGCCGACGCAACCATTGTGTTTGGGTCGCGGAAACTGCAGTTACGCTTCCTTGTAATGCCTGATGCTACCGAGGAATTACTTCTGGGACTGGATTTCTTAACCAAAGGCGAAGCCCGTCTCACCTGCGCTGGACTTACTTGTAATTTCGGAGTTTCGCGGAAAACACACCATCACCGAACTATGATAACATCGTTGGCGGCCAATGAACCAATTGTCGAGGGAAGCAAAACCCCTGGGCACAGGACGATACCATAATGTCGAACACTCCACAACCCCAACGTACCAAAGCCTATTACAAACAACAATGGCAATTGATGGACTCGATGAAGCCTTGTTCGGTTCAGCTTACCAGACTAAGCGAAAAGCAAATTGACCACGCTTTGGTAGTCGGTGGAAAGGCAGACTCACCTCACCAACCAGTTAATGGGGCGACTACAGTCTGTCGGCCTATGACCAGCTTGATTTCCAAACCAATTAAGCGATCCTCGTCAGCTAATCTGTCGCTTAAGTCGGCCAAAAGTACTCCAGCACCCAAGCCCACAACGAAATCAGCCGAGAAGATATTTATGGTCTGCCCGCCAAGCACAAACCAACCCAAAAGACATGTTGCGAAGGCCTCAACATCCAAACCAACTAGGCGGCAGCCACTTATCAAGCCAAATCCTTCCCTTCCGAAGCCAATACAGATGGTTGTTGATACAATCGTCATATCATCTGATGATGAGCCGAAAACGCCGCCGCGCAGACCGCCGCCAGTGCAGGACAACCCTATCACGCCCCCTCCATTTGTATCACCCTTATCAACAACCGGTGACGTGGGTACCGACCTGCCGCCTACTCCCGGCCGCAGTCTATTTCTGGAATTTGGAGTGCCTACAACATCCAGTCGATGCGCGTCGGATTCCGATTCGGAGCCACAGGCTCCCAGGATAAATCGGAGGTTGGAGAGTTCACGAGGTGAAGGGGGGTCCAGGCTTCCAAGGACAGTCGTCAGCGGAAGGGGAGGTAGTGTGATGACGAAAGTCGCCCTCTCGTTTTCGCCACAACAATATTATGAATTGTTAAATAAATTAAATTTTTCAAATCATTAATAATAAAATGAATTCCCAAAACTTATTCAACTACCCCCATACTTGTTTAACAAGAAAAGTTCTAATAATTCGCCGGCCGTTAAGTTCAATGACCGATCATTTCAAGGCCACATAATTACAACATAGCCAATGACAGGCAAAGAAGAAAAAGCGACAAATACGCAAAATATGCACAAACAACTTACAAGCATTACAACGACGGTAACTGCATATCAGCAAACGACACTAACAATGCTGAATGTGAAAGTGATGTTTGGTCAACCAATGGTAAGTGCGTTGGTGGAGTTTAATAGAAGTCGTTACAGTTATCCCCACTAACAAAGAACATTGGCAGAAGACGGCAGTGGGGAATAACAACAACGAAAGGTATGTTTATTTTCCTATAAAAGGGAAAGTTAAATTAGAAAAGGGGATCAGTGAGTCATCTAAGCGAGAACAGCTAACAAGTGCGCGAATTCAAATAAACGTGAGAACGAAGCAAGTCATAGCCAGGTGAGTCAGAGTAGTGATCCCCATATCCTCCCGAACGAGTGGTGTTTATATCCCTTCGGTGTCCTTCGCGAAATTTTGATTAGAGCTAGTTGTGCCCGACTCGTTTAGTAACCCTCTGTGGAGTTGGTATCCTTTGGGCCCGTATCGTTAAATCATCGGAAGATTTCGGCTTTCTTAAATTAACCCTCTGTGGAGTGTGTATCCCTTGGGCCCCCGTCGTTAAGTTCTCGGGAGACTTCGGTTTTCTTACATTAACCCTCTGTGGAGTGTGTACCCCCTTGGGTCCATGTTGTAGAAAACTCTCGGAAGACTTCGGTTTTCTCAAATTAACCCTCTGTGGGGTGTGTATCCCTTGGGTCCGTGTCGTAAAGAACTCTCGGAAGACTTCGGCTTTCTCGAATTAACCCTCTGTGGAGTGTGAATCCCTTGGGTCCCCATCGTTAAATTTTCGGAAGACTTCGGTTCGTGTCTTTAAACCCGCGAGAGACTTCGGTTTTCTTGAATTAACCCTCTGTGGAGTGTGTATCCCCTGGGTCCCCGTCGTTGAATTCTCGGGAGGCTTCGGTTTATTTACATTAACCCTCTGAGGAGTGTGTATCCCTTGGGTCCGTGTCGTTAATTCCTCGGATGATCTCGTTTCTCCATTATTAACCCTCTGTGGAGTACGTATCCCGCTGGGTCCGACTCTTTGGACTTTCGGAACTTCGTTTCTCTGTTATTAACCCTCTGTGGAGTGCGTATCCCTTAGGTCCGTGTCGTTCACTTCTCGGAAGATCTCAGCCCTCCATTATTAACCCTCTGTGGAGTACGTATCCCTCTGGGTCTCGACGCTTTAGATTTTCGAAAGACTTCTTTTTCCCTCTTATTAACCCTCCGAGGAGTCCGTATCCCCTGGGACCCGTAGCTAATACCCCTGTAAGGCCTTATTTTGAACTTAAATCCATCGAAGGGTCCGGTGCCCCGTGGACCCCTGTCGCTAATACTCTCGTTAGCCCTTGTCTTTTGGACTTTAACCCTCTGCGGAGTCCATAAGCCGCAGGGTCCCCCCGATCTTGCTGGCTTTGCCTATCGTTGGCTTCGCCTATTGAGTCGGAAGAGTGAATCTGGAGTACTTATCCAGGTCTCCGTCGAATATTGTTGGAAAAAGGGAAGATACCAAGAACTCCGGAGACGACACCAGAGCCCTCATTGGCCATATCAACGGGAGTACTGATCCAGGTCTCCTGCGATTACGGGAACGGAAGAAGGAGCCAGTCAGCTAGAGGATTTATCCAGGACATCTCTAACGTAGGAAGAGAAGACAACCCGTACGGAGATTCTACTTCATAGATGCAACATAGAGTTTTATAATCAGCACCATATCCGCCAATAAAGCCGCAATTTGACTAAAAACCAAAACCAAACTGTGTTATCACTCTCTCGGTCACTCAATATAAATTTCTGTGACGAACTCCGGCCCCTTGCAAGCTTACCCCAGCAACCGGAGGAAATTCGTCGTTACAATTTTCAAAAGCTCGTTTATACATATAGAAAACATAAAGATAATTGTTTAATGCTTTGGTACATTTCTTTTCATTTTAGCAATGGCTTGATTATTGTCACCCCAATGATACGTTTCTTGATTAAGCTGTCGTCAAAGAACGAACGTAATCTAATAACAATACCAAAAATAATCAGCATTACCAACAATTTATTGGCCAACTATAGCATACGAGATGTGGCTGTGCGGGCCCTGAAAACATTAACCTATGAAATATTCCTTATGACCTTACCCGATCATCGTCCCGATAGTGATGGTAGTTCGTTGCGTCCGGGACAGGGTACGGCTGCTGTCGATGACCCCAATTCATTGGCTGCCATTACCGAAAATCTGCTAACACTCAACGATGAACTTGACACACAGAAAGAAGTCATTTTGGGGATGTTGGAGAAATTCATTGAATCCCAAGATTGCCAACAACTTTTCTGCTTACTATTGCTAATTGAGCAATTGCAACAGCTTACAATGTCCAATGTAGGTGGAAATATCATGACAACAAAAGAACAAAAACTGCCATCTTATGACAATATTGAAGTAGATGGTGCTGGTGTCGGGGGTAGTGGTAGAGGCAATGCCCGGCAACGTCATGAACAAAAGACAACAAAATGTTTGCCAAATCTCGATACGGTCTGTAATATGATATGCCAGTCAATATATACAAATCGTTTGTGCATACAAGACTGGCACACATACCGCCTGCTGGATACATTCTTTAAAAACAATGGCAAATATCTGTTGGGTAATAGCAGAGAATTTATGGCATTATTGAAATACATCATTGAGGCGGTAAGTTCCTATTATGAAAGTATGAAAATTGTTGATATTTTTCGATATAAGACAGAATAAATTGACATTGAAAGGGACTTATGTTGATAAATTTTAGAGCAATGATATGCATATCGTGTGTGTTGATATTTTGTGCAATATTACAATTATTAAAATGCAAAAAATGTTTTTAAATATATATCGAAATATGTTAATTCCGATGGTATTATAAAATCAGGCATTTAAGAGCAGATTAAGATATTAATAAATGAAATAAAATTTGGACCAAATAGGAAATTTCATACAGTACTTTTATGCTAACACTCAACGATGAACTTGACACACAGAAAGAAGTCATTTTGGGGATGTTGGAGAAATTCATTGAATCCCAAGATTGCCAACAACTTTTCTGCTTACTATTGCTAATTGAGCAATTGCAACAGCTTACAATGTCCAATGTAGGTGGAAATATCATGACAACAAAAGAACAAAAACTGCCATCTTATGACAATATTGAAGTAGATGGTGCTGGTGTCGGGGGTAGTGGTAGAGGCAATGCCCGGCAACGTCATGAACAAAAGACAACAAAATGTTTGCCAAATCTCGATACGGTCTGTAATATGATATGCCAGTCAATATATACAAATCGTTTGTGCATACAAGACTGGCACACATACCGCCTGCTGGATACATTCTTTAAAAACAATGGCAAATATCTGTTGGGTAATAGCAGAGAATTTATGGCATTATTGAAATACATCATTGAGGCGGTAAGTTCCTATTATGAAAGTATGAAAATTGTTGATATTTTTCGATATAAGACAGAATAAATTGACATTGAAAGGGACTTATGTTGATAAATTTTAGAGCAATGATATGCATATCGTGTGTGTTGATATTTTGTGCAATATTACAATTATTAAAATGCAAAAAATGTTTTTAAATATATATCGAAATATGTTAATTCCGATGGTATTATAAAATCAGGCATTTAAGAGCAGATTAAGATATTAATAAATGAAATAAAATTTGGACCAAATAGGAAATTTCATACAGTACTTTTAAAAATTTTGGCCCTTTGAGCGCCTTTCTATGCAAATGATTTAGTTATGAGATATTTCTGTGATCTAAGTTTATGGAAATGGAAACAACCCCTATTTGCATATATGCGGGCGAACATGGTTATATTAACCATAAACCTTTTAAAACGGTTTCGAATATTTTTAACCGAAGAGGGTTATGCGTGCAAAGGTATTGGTATCCAAATTTGTTTATTTTGCCATGTTTACGTTAGAACATATTGTAGTGTTAACCTACTTTAAGAGGATTTATTTGAAGTATAAGTTATGGATATGACAATATTAATCCAAATCCAGTGGGTTAACCCTTTTATGTGTAAACGTACAGTTACTATTTAACCTTAAACTAACGAGGTAGTGGCAAATTTTACCCTCCACGTTTTGTAAAATTCTCTTTTCTATTGCGATGAATAAAAGCCACATAGCTAGAGAGGCTGTACAGGGTGAGTTGAGAAAACTGCAACCAACTTCACACTGCTGTTATTTATAAGCCACTCGTCCGTCAGCTGTTAAAATTATTCCAGTGACAGCTTATTATATTGTTTACAAGCGTACAAAATCATTCTGGTGAGAATTTTCCAAAAAATCGTGATAGTGTGATCTCTTTATATTTGGCTGGAAAATCACAAGTGACTAACGTTAGAGCACTCCAGCATTTAAATGTGAATAAATCTTTTTGTGTCTTGTACCATTGCTCATTATCTTGATACTGGTAGAGAAGCCCGTGCCTCATTGAAATAACGGTTTTAGACCCTAGGTATCTTTTGGCCAAATCCGTTTTAGGCCATTGGGAGTCGAGCTGTCTGGCTGGCTGATGCACAAGATAACTATCCGATTTGATCCAAACTTGGTACATTGTAATATTATTGTCTAAACTAGATCGAGTTCGAAGATGGGCAACATCGGTCCACTCCAGCTGGTACCTCTCACACAAAATGTCAACATTTTCAAAGAAAATAATTTACTGTACAGAAAGAGAAAGAAAAGCTCGATTTTGCTCCAACTTTGCAAATTCTAATATTTGCATTAGTTCTAGGTCAGGTGCGAAAATGGACAGTATCTCTTCACTCCATCAAGTATCTTCCCCACAGAGGGTCAACATTTGCGATAATTATAATTCCTATAAGATGTGATGTGAGTGTCCGATTTCCTTCAAATTACACACACCACAATACTTTTTATTAGCCCAAGGTCTGGTGTGAAGATGGATTATGTCGGACCACTTCTTGTATTACTTCCCCCACAAAGGGTCAACATTTTGAATATCCATTTTAAATTAACATCCGATTCCATTCAGACTTGGCACATCTCAATATTTCTATTAACACAAGATCCGTTATAAAGATGGTACAGATCAGACCTTTTCTGCTGTTACCTCTTCCTCATAGGGTTCAATATTTTGAAAAACAAAGGGTTCAAAGAAAGCTAAATTAGCATCCAATTCTCTTCAAATTTCACATAGACAAGATATGTTGTGAAGATGATATATATCTGCGAAGCCCTTCTGGTACCCACACCAAATTTTACCCTCCACGTTTTGTAAAATTCTCTTTTCTATTGCGATGAATAAAAGCCACATAGCTAGAGAGGCTGTACAGGGTGAGTTGAGAAAACTGCAACCAACTTCACACTGCTGTTATTTATAAGCCACTCGTCCGTCAGCTGTTAAAATTATTCCAGTGACAGCTTATTATATTGTTTACAAGCGTACAAAATCATTCTGGTGAGAATTTTCCAAAAAATCGTGATAGTGTGATCTCTTTATATTTGGCTGGAAAATCACAAGTGACTAACGTTAGAGCACTCCAGCATTTAAATGTGAATAAATCTTTTTGTGTCTTGTACCATTGCTCATTATCTTGATACTGGTAGAGAAGCCCGTGCCTCATTGAAATAACGGTTTTAGACCCTAGGTATCTTTTGGCCAAATCCGTTTTAGGCCATTGGGAGTCGAGCTGTCTGGCTGGCTGATGCACAAGATAACTATCCGATTTGATCCAAACTTGGTACATTGTAATATTATTGTCTAAACTAGATCGAGTTCGAAGATGGGCAACATCGGTCCACTCCAGCTGGTACCTCTCACACAAAATGTCAACATTTTCAAAGAAAATAATTTACTGTACAGAAAGAGAAAGAAAAGCTCGATTTTGCTCCAACTTTGCAAATTCTAATATTTGCATTAGTTCTAGGTCAGGTGCGAAAATGGACAGTATCTCTTCACTCCATCAAGTATCTTCCCCACAGAGGGTCAACATTTGCGATAATTATAATTCCTATAAGATGTGATGTGAGTGTCCGATTTCCTTCAAATTACACACACCACAATACTTTTTATTAGCCCAAGGTCTGGTGTGAAGATGGATTATGTCGGACCACTTCTTGTATTACTTCCCCCACAAAGGGTCAACATTTTGAATATCCATTTAGGTTATAAAACACGAAATTAACATCCGATTCCATTCAGACTTGGCACATCTCAATATTTCTATTAACACAAGATCCGTTATAAAGATGGTACAGATCAGACCTTTTCTGCTGTTACCTCTTCCTCATAGGGTTCAATATTTTGAAAAACAAAGGGTTCAAAGAAAGCTAAATTAGCATCCAATTCTCTTCAAATTTCACATAGACAAGATATGTTGTGAAGATGATATATATCTGCGAAGCCCTTCTGGTACCCACACCCATAAAGGGTTACAATTTTCTTGTTCCCTCGAACTAATTTATCAGAAAATTGCTCAAAAATGCAGAGTTTCAATGATTCAATAAATAAATTACATGTCTGTTTTAAAATGGGTAGTTTGTGACTCGATGTCTTCATTCTTTTATTTATTTTTTATAAACGTTTTCCTGCAATCGTTTAGAATATATATTTTACAAAGTTTTATTTCCAATTCAAATTCGACCCATAAATATACAACATAACAAATGTATGTATGCATACATACATACAAACTAGATTTAACTTTGAAATAATTACAAATGTAAACATTTTCCACACTTTTATCATGGCTAACAATGGTGAAAATGTGCACTTTTTGTGTAAAATCACATTGCACTCATCAGCACACACATAGTACGTACATCGTTACCTACCTTGTAATACAAAATTGTATCACAAAAATTTTTCAAAAAAAAAAGTTATGGACTTTTTAACTCTTTCTAACGATCAAACTTTTTATGTTTTCCCATTAATATTTTGTATTCCATTGCATTTTGTTTATTTCATGTTGCATCATGATGGTCTGTCGGTCGTTTGCTGAATCTCTCTCTTCGTGTGTGTCTCCTACCATCATTTTTAATGGTGGCACCTCAACTTTGAACAACTTTTCTTTTTTGGAATACTGCCTGCCTGCGGTCTACTTCCTGCCTGCTTGGTTGGCTTGTTGATGGGCCATGGAATACACATTGGACTGTTTATGTGTCTGTGAATGGTTGACAACATCACTTGTTGTTGCTGTTGTTGGGATAATGCCTTATTTTGCCAACATCAACTGCAAATGCAACAATAAACAATAACAACACCAACAATTCCTTTCGCATACAAACACCCTCTACCCTCCATTTTGCTGTTGATGACGATGGTCCTGCAATGCTAAACAAAACAATATTGGTGTTCGGCTGATGCTATGGGCAATGGTGGAACACAAATACATACATGCACATGCTCATGGCTCGGCTCCGGCTCTCTATATAAAATAAAAACAACAATAACTTGCGATAACACGGTATCTGTTATTTGCCTAACACGAATAAAACACAACTACTACAACAATAACAAATGTGAACCAAAAAGGATGTTACAAACTTTAGTGATTTATCGTATGCAACGATTATCCTGTCGAATGTAATCCTCAAAACCGAGGAAATTTATTTAGTAAATCACATAAAGCTCTATTTGAAAAATCACCCAACTACAGTGGAAAAGTTGAAGCGAAAGCAACAGCAACGCCAGCAAACCGCTAACACCGTCAGTGTCGGTTCTCAGCAGCAACAACATCAACAACAACAGAAACATCAGCCGTGGCTACCGGATGTTGGCCATGATAAACCCTCAACATCATCAGCAGCTCGAGCTGCCGCAGCCGCTGCCTTCTCCGCCAGCAGCTCACCATCACCATCATCATCATCAACATCCTCGTCAGCGTATAATTCAAGTGGCCTAAACGAGTACAACTACTTCCCAACCGTTTTATGTGACGTCCTATTCGAATGTCTTCAAACACTGGCCGAGCATCGTCGAAACTCAAATTCGTACAGCCATCCGTTTAGCAGCCAATATTGTCGACTAGTTGGTAATTTTGTTAAAGTTTTGAACAAACTTTGCTCGAACACACGTTCGGATGATTTTCTACTTGTTTCCATGCGTTCCATTCTAAATGGCTGTGAATCGAGATTGTTAAATGAATACCATAATTTGTTGATGATGTACTCGACACAAGGCTGTCCTCCCAATGCGACGTGTTGTGCCCAACTTTCTGGCTCTACGTCTATGTCGTCTGCAACGATGGGAAATTCTACAGGAATTTCAATGAGTGGCGGTGGCAGCGGTGGCGGGGGAGGTGCCGGTGGGGGTGGTGTGGCTTCCTCTTTATCATTAGCAATAAACGATGCTGCTGCCACAGCCATGGTTGATAATGTCATGTTGCAGCTACAATTGGAATTGTTTCAGTTGTTAAAATCTGTTGGTGTTTTGGATACATTGGCCTTGTTGCAACGTCTGCAATCCAATGACATTTCACATCACGTTCGACGTGCTCTCTTAAATAAGATTTGCCAACAAAGTGTGGTAAGTAGATTTTTTTTATCGTACTAATAATAGCTATTACTGTTGATGTAAATTATAGAGAGAAAGAGAGTAGGTGTGACAAATTGAAATTGAAATTGGTTGGATATATTTGTAGGTATTTCCCTTGTCGGATTAATGAAATTGTATACAGACGGGAGTAGCTAAATATTACTCGCGTATGCAATGCATAATTTTTGAGGCTTAAATCGAATTTCTTCAAATAATGGGATATGCTTACAACGTTCCACCCCACAATCGTCAATTCAAGTAATAACAAATCATATGATGATCATGATTTTAAGATAAATAACACCTAAGGACATAGAAAGCCTATCTAAGTTCTAAATTACTAAGAAAACAATAGGTGTGTTCCAGAATATGCCATATAGTACTATATTACACTAGTTTTAAAAATTTATACTTAAACAGAAAGCTTAGTAAAACTTATGGACAAAATGAAGAGAGACAAATATGTCATTCTCTTTTACTATATCTACTCGCTGAATTTGGTTGAAAGAAATATTGGAGCTTGATTGCCAGCATCTAATTTGCTGAAATGTAGTTTTCGTACTTTTTAAAGTAAAGCAGTTATCTCAGGGCGAATATGACATTTCTCTTTTTTACTGGTTTTATCAATAAACAAGTAAAACAGTATCAGTCGGTTTTGCCGACAGATGTATACCCCCAGCCATGAATTATGATTAATCAATCTGTTGACCCTTTATGGGGGAGGTTCCAAAGCAGTTGGCCAATATTCACCAATTCGAATCTGACCTAAGACTGATAAAAATATTACAACGGGCTAGATTTGGACTATATCGACTACTTCCTATACTTTATAATGTGGAAATATGCGTGAGGTAACAGATATAGCGGACCGAAGAATTCCATTTTCATACATTCTTCATATAATACAGATAAAAATATTGGAATTTGCCAAATTTTGGAACATTTATATCCAATTTAATGAGAAATCATAAATTCCGATTAATAATTTATTCATATCAGATTTCTGTTTAAGAGAAATAGTTAGGTATATCAAGTTGTAAAGAATCGCCGACTTGTTTCGCAAGTTATGACAGATAAAAGTATTGGAAATTGTGATTCTATGAGGGTTAGGTACCAAAAGGGGCTCGCAGATATATATCATCTTCACAACATCTTTATAACATATCTTGTGTTGATTGAAATATTGAAATGTACCAAGCCTCAATGGAATCGGATGTTAATTTCCCGTTTTATGAGCTTCATGGATACTCAAAATTTTAACCCTTTGTAGGGGAGGTACCATAAGGGGTGGACCGATATATTCCGTCTTCACATCAGACCTTGGGCTAATAAGAACATTTTGACTTGTGTAATTTGAAGAGAACCCAGTGCTTATTTCGGATTTTATGATCGTTTTGGTTATTCAAAGTTTAACACTTTGCAAGGGAGCTACCAAAAGGAATCGTCCGATCTCTACCATATTTATAACATATCTAATGTTGATGGAAATATTGAAATGTACCAAGTCTGAATGGAATCGGATGTTAATTTCCCGTTTTATAAGCTTCATGGATACTCAAAATTTTGACCCTTTCTGGGGGAGATGCCAGAAGAGGTGGACCAATACATTCCATCTTGACACCAGACCTTGGGCTAATAAAAACATTGTGATGTGTGTAATTTGAAGAGAACCGGATGATTATTTCGGATTTTGACCCTTTGTGGGGAAGGTACCAGAAGGAATGGCCCCATCTCTAACATATTTTTAACAGAGCTTGTGTTAATGAGTTGTGCCAAGTCTGAATCGGATATTAGTCTGAATCGGATGTTAATTTCGTGTTTTATGAGCTTAATTTATATACAAAAGTTTGACCCTTTGTGGGGAAGGTACCAGAAGGAGTGGACCGATATATTCCATCTTCACACCAGACCTTAGGTTAATAAAAATATTGTGATGTGTGTAATTTGAAGACAGTCGGACTTTTACATCACATTTTATAAGAGTTATAATTATTCCATTTTCGCACCTGACCTAGCATTAAGATTTGCAAAGTTGGAACAAAATCGGATTATGCTTTCGCTTTCTGTGCAGCAAATTATTTTCTTTGAAAATTTTGACATTTTGTGTGGGAGGTACCAGAAGGAGTGGACCCATATTGCCCATCTCCGAATTCGATCTAAGTTGGACAATAATATTAATATGTACCAAATTTTGATCAAATCGGATACTCCCTTCGAGAGTTATCGTGCGCAGCAGTCAGACGGACAGAAGGACACGGCTAGATTGACTCCAAATGTCCTGAAACGTATTTGGTCCAAAGAGACGTATTTCGATGAGGCACGTTTTGGCCGTATCAAATGATATATACTCTCTCTAGCCATATGGCTGAGGGCATTAAAACAAAATTACACCTGGGGGCATATTAAGCCTACCCATGTTGCTGATTACTAAGTATCTATTATACTAAACTCAATGCATAATGCATTCCCTATATTTGTATAATGATTGGACTCGAAAAAAGAAAATGTTAGATTTTTCATTTAATTTAAAGAATTTTGTTAGATATAGAATTTTTAGTTCACTTTTTTATCGTCATACAGCAACAGGTTGTTAAAATGTTCGACAAAATATAGAAATATGGGTCCAGTGCAATTAAATTTTCTTTCTTTTCTTTGAAATGCCCTACCTTATTAACATATCACATTTAATATCATAGCTCCAGATGGATTTATGAATAGGACAACAATCCTTGTACAGCACCTGTTTAACTTCCCTTTCAAATTCTTCAAACATGGAAATTGACCCTAATTGCACTTACAACTTTATTAGCAACAAATCAAACAGACATAAATTAATGATACAGTGCAGCAGCACATTAACGTCAGCAGCAATAGTGTATCTAAAAATATCCTGTAGTATAGTCCTAACATAGATGCTGCTGCTGTTGTTGTTGTTGCATATCCTTTAGAACACTAATGAGTTGTGCTTTATTTAAAAGCACATTAAATGATTCGAAATCAATCTACAAAATCCCTTCCACAGAACCTTATGGACACGACATCAGTATCAGCACAACATCCCGATTAGTTAAAATGTTTGGATGCACTTTAAACAAAACTACCTGTAGGTCTGGGGTCTGGGAGTGAGATTTATGTTTACATCTGAAGTTGTGTGTTTTTTTTTTTCTTATTTCTTCTACTCCTTTCTCTGTTGTTCCTTTCATTAATTAGTTTCAATATAAACTTAAAAACTCATTTAATGTACCTGCTCTTGTTTTATTCCTGTTTTCTTTCATCCTCTTACACCATATAGCCGCATGCCACGATGGAATGGAACCTGCAACAAGTGCAGCAGTTGTTCAATGGCAATTTTCTGAATATTTTAATTGTTGAACAATTTGCATTCGTCTGCAATTTATGTGAAGTGGACGAGGAGTTTTGTGCGCTGTTCCAGTCAACGGTTCTAACGAACATTGGAGTGCTCAATAAGGTTGGTATATTTGTGTGTGTGTGCGTACCCGCCATTTTTAATTCCAATGGCTTTTGTATTTATGTATTGCTGTATTGTTATGGTAATGATAATGTTATCCTTTATATTGACATTGATATTTGACCATAATATATTTTAAAAGGCTCCAGATATTTTGGGTGATAAAAAAATATAGATTTAAAAAATTTGGATTATTTTGGGATCAACTTTGAAAATGGTCGTACAAAATGACGCCAGACAACTTGAAATATAGATTTTCGAAGATATGATATACATGAGAAAAATAAAATATATGAGTGATTCGTTCAGTAATTCAGAGCAATTCAGACCAACAAATGCAAAGTAATTTTCTATTTGTTATGCTTGCCCTATGCCCTCGTGTCATATGCCTCTGAATAGGCAAAATCGTTATCATCTACGTAAACTGTCTGGTCGAACCTGAACCCTATCCTACAGTAGAAGTTAAAGCATTATAAACAAAAAAGAACGATCTGTTTAATATTTTCCTTACAACTTGACTTCTTTTACATTTTTACATAACTCGAATTGGATTTTTTGAATATAGGATTATTTTTTTTATAAAATTTTCCTTGTGACAGGAAAATCTGATGTTTCTTAAAGTATATTAAAGCAAACATTAGTTTAACAAAGTTAGTTCTCAGCAATCACTACTTTTTCAAAATTTTAGTTTGGTTCCATTTGTCTGGAATCAAATGTTTTAAATACAGCGTGAGATGAAGAAACTGCAACCAAACTCAGACTGCTATCATTTCTAAGCCACTCATCCGACAGCTGTTAAAATTATTCCAGTGAGAGCTCATTATATTGTTTACAAGCGTACAAAAGCATTTTGGTGAGAATTTTCCAGAAAAAAAGTTATTCGTGCGGAATTCAAGCGTGATAGTGTGATTTCTTTATATTTGGCTGGAAAACCACAAGTGGCTATTGTTAGAGCACTCCAGCATTTAAATGTGAATAAATCTTTTTGTGTCTCGTACCATCGCTCGTTACCGTGATGATGGTTACGTAGCCCGACGTCAAGGAAGTGGACGGAATAAAACAGCAACATCAGCAGAAATGGTTCGAAAAATAAAAAAGCGACTTGATCGAAATCCGCGTCACAGTGGTGGAAAAATGCTCGTAAGCTGAGCATATCGCAATATTTCATTCGGTAAATATTTTAAAATGAGCTCGGGGTAAAGGCATTGAAATTCCAAAAAGTGCAAGAACTTACACCGCAACAGAAAGAAAATAGACTCAAAAGAGCTAAATAATTGCTTCGCTTGGCCGAAAGTAGTGAACTGCCGAATTTAGTTTTCTCCGATGAGAAAACATTCGTTGTCCAACAGTTTGTAAACAAACAAAATGATCGTCTTTACTTGCCAAAGAGGTCAGCTGAAAATGTGCACGTTCGGTTGGCTACCAGAACTCAAGCGGCCATGGTGATGGTGTGGGCCGCCATAACAGCCGATAGACGCTCTCCGCTCGTAATTATCGACCGTGGCATCAGAATAAATGCCGAATATTATTGCGAAAATATTCTGGAGGGTGTATAAAAGCCTTGGGCACGCAAACATTTTGACCGCAGACCTTGGACATTCCAACAGGACTCAGCACCATCGCACTCAGCACAGTTACAAAATGAGGTTCCTCGCTTTATTTCCAGCTCACAAAGGCCACCAAAATCTCCGGATTCCAATCCGTTGGACTATTGTGTCAGGAGTATTTTGGAAAGCAAGGTTGACACTAAAAAATACCAAAGTGTCGATTAACTTAAGCAAGCGCTTCGCCGGGATTGGGCCAAAATACCGCAGAGCAACATTCGGACAGCGTGTGACGGTTTCATTGGCCATTTTAAGGCCATAATTCGTGCCAATGGTGACCAATTCGAACAAATCTAAACTTTTTCTAAAATTTGATGCTATTTCCGACATTTTTTGTTTTCATTCAATAAAATTTAAAAAAATGTAAAAATTATGGCGTTTAATTTTTTGCAGTTTTTTATCTCACCCTGTAGGCCCGTAATGGAAAATGGAGGCACATAGAAACGACAATGCATAGTGTTTTGTGTTTTTTTTTTCAAATATTCGAACTGGGTTTTTTCATTTGAATTCTTCTTTTACATACCTAAACAGGCTCTTAAATATATGTGCCTCTTTATTTTCTAGCCATTTACCAATTACATTTCATGAATTAATATTTCTCTAATTTTTTCTCTTTACTTCCCACAGCATTCAATTATATATCTGTTGCGTCTGGTGGAGAATCTGTGCAAGAAAACGGAAGAATGTTCCATTCTACGATTTGCTAAATGTTTGCAAATTTTAAATAAACTATACAGTTTTGTTGTAATGTCATCATCCGCATCATCGTTATCTTCGTCTTCTTCTTCGTCAGCGTCAGCATCTTCAGTTGACAAACGGCCACTTCAATTACAAATTGAGCGTTTAGCTCGACATTTGATCGTTAATTCGTCCGATACTTACGATAAAAATGCTATTTACGATACATTTGTCCATTTAATCGAAGAAGACGAAGAACAGCAACAATTGTTGACGACTACCTCAAAGGAAGGAACTGCCGCATCATCGTTAACAACATCAGCTGGAGCGGCAGCAGATGAAACAGCATCGTCGTCATCCTCATCGTCCTACCACTTTAACTCAAGTGAACATTTGCAATTTATGATGTAAGTCAATTACACTTTGATTCTATTTCTATGAAAGCATCAAACGGCTTTTGGAATACAGTATCCAGTAGAAGGAAATATTACCGTTTATGGGATCACATATTTATTCAAAGAGTTTCCAAAAAATGAGCAAAGATCTGAGTTGGAAACATCTGTAAATTTATATGGTTTGGAAAAAGAAAGTGTTAAATGCGAATTATTTTCATATTTATGTGACTTATTGATCAGATAAATCCCATCCTCATTAGAACTAATTATATCAAGGTTCGGGGAATGTTATTTTAATGAGGTGCATTTGGAAAATTCAGAACCACATGGGCTCGATGTTCAAAACTACTTCATAAGGTATTGTTTTCTGAAGAGTTGATATATTGATATTCGTCCAACAGGTGATTGGAAATTGGCGAATTTTAAAAGAACAAGTAAAATAGTATCAGTCGGTTTTTGCCGACAGATGTATACCCCAGCCTTGATTTATGATTATTCAAACTGTTGACCCTTTAGAGGGTAGGTTTCGCAGCAGTCGGACAATGTTGACCAATTCGTATCTGACCTAAAAATATTACAACGTGCCAGATTTGGACTATATCCTCTACTTCCTATATTTTATATGAAATATGTGCAAATTTTTGGAAAATGTGGAAATATGCGTAAGGTAACATATATAGCGTACCGCAGTTTTCTATTTTCATACCAGAAGGGGTTGACAGACAACATATCTTGCTTTAGCAAAAATGTATGGATGTGTGAAATTTGAAGAGAGTAGGATGCTTATTTCGCTTTCTTTGAGCGTTTTGTTTTTTAAAAATCTTGAACCCTATGTGGGGGAGTGGTCCTATCTCTACCATCTTTATAAGAGACCTTGTGTTAATGGAAATATTGAGATGTACCAAGTCTGAATGGAATCGGATGTTAATTTAGCGTTTTATGAGCTTTTGACTTTGGTCCTTTGTGGGGAGGTGCCAGAAGGTGTTGACCGATACATGCCATATTCACAGCAAATCTTGTGTTAGTAGAAATAATGGGATATATGAAATATGAAGTGAACCGGAATCTTATTTCGGATTTTAGAACAGTTTTGGTTATTCAAACTTTGACCCTTTGTGGGGGAGGTACTAGAAGGAATGGCCCGATCGCTACTATCTTTATAACAGACCTTGTGTTGATGGATATATTCAGATGTTCCACGTGTGAATAGAATCTGATAATTTCGCGTTTTATTATCTTCATAGATATTCAAAATGTTGACCCTTTGTATACCTAATGGATTTGACCGATTTATCCCACCATCACACCAGACCTTGGGTTGGTAAAAATATTGTGATGTGTGTAATATGAAGAGAATCGGAGACTTATTTCGAATTTTATAAACGTTTTAGTTATTAAATATTTTTACCTTTGTGTTGGTGGGGGGAGGTTTGGGTTGGAGCCGTATCAGAAGAAGTGGTCCGATATCCATATTGATACTCAAAAATTAGATCCTTTGGGGGGAAGATAGTAGAAGGAGTGGACCGATATATCCCATTTTCACACTACACCTTGGGTTAATGAAAATATTACAATGTGCTCGGACTTTTACATCACATTTTACAAGAGTTATAATTATTCAAAATGTTGACCCTTTGTGGAGGAGGTACTTGATAGAGTGGACCGATATTGTCCATTTTCGTACCTGACCAAACACTGACGCTAATATTAGGATTTGCAAAGTTGATGCAAAATCGGATTATGGTTTATCTTTCTGTGCAGAAAAAAAAATATTTTTTTTTTTGAAAATTTCGACCATTTGTGGAGGTTGTACCAGAAGGAGTGGACCGATATTCCATCTTAACACTTGACCTTAGGTTGACGTAAATATTGGGATGTGTGAAATTTGAAGACAATCGGACACTTACATCACATTTTATAAGAGTTGTAATTATTCAAAATTTTGATCCTTTGAAGGGGAGGTACTTGATGGAGTGGACCGATGTCGTCCATTTTCGCACTTCACCTAGCACTGACGCAAATATTAGGATTAGCAAAGTTGGAGCAAAATCGGATTATCCTTTCTCTTTCTGTGCTGTAAAGTATTTTCTTTGAAAAATTCGAGCTTTTGTGAGGTACCAGAAAGAGTGGTCCGATATTGCCCATCTCCGAATTCGATCTAAGTTTGATAATAATATTACGATGTACCGAATTTGCATCAAATCGGATACTCCCTTCGAGAGTTACCGTGCGAACCAGCCAGCCAGACAAACAGATGGGCATCGCTAGATCGACTCCAAATATCCTGAAACAGATTTGGTCCAAGACTCCAAAACCGTTATTTCGATGAGACACGTTTTGGCCGCATCACATGATATTTATCCTCTCTGAGGGTATAACTAGTATGGCTAAGGGTATAAAAAAAATTCTAGTCTAAGTCTAGTTTTTTGAAAAGAATGAATCAGATATTAAATGAATATGAAATTTATTTTTTTTGAATGTCGGATGTAATCCCTATTTGAATTCGATTCTAGTTAAAAAGAAATGTTCAGTGAAATTTACAATTTTTGGAAGTTTGACCAAAGTTTAACTATTCTAGAATAGTCCATTTCCGAGCTAGTTTTGGGGTATTTATGAATAATTGGATTTGTTAAAATGTCAGGGAGATATCCAAATGAAGAAAAGTACCAGAATAAGTTTATAGGCAAAAATATACCTTCGAACCTGGAGTTTACATCCAGCACATATACAATTTTAACTTCTAAATTCGATGCACACACAAAGCGGTACTAGTCTTTAATAATGAGTTATAGAGTTTGGTTACATCTACCGATTCACAACCCTGCGTATACGCTATATAGGAGTTACTACGATATCTTTACAAAAATTGGTTTATTTTCTATTCTTTTAGAATTTTTATTTCTTTCTTGATACTGTATTCAAAGCTTAGCACTTAGCTGTAGTTATATTTATTTATATTGTATTTAAGTATCCGTTCTTTGGCCTCACTCGCTGTGTGTCTGTGTCTGTGTTTGGGTTTTTGTATTCAACTATTTATTGAGTGCTATTATTAGGATGCATACTTATATATTTGTCTTTGTGTGTCAGTTTGAATGGATGAGAAACCTTTTTATGTTTGTTCAAGTGAAACTTTCTTTCTCTTTCTGTTATTATAATTTCAATTTTAGAATTGTATATTTTCTTGGAAAAAAATTTCCTCACCGGAATGATGAGATGAGGAGGTTGGGTGGGGAGGTAGCTACGGGGTTCCTTTTAGATTTTCTTCTCTCTTTCGATTTATTTGATTTTTCATTTAATGTTCGTGTCTCTCTTTTGTGTTACAGCTTAAATGATTTGGAAAATTCTTGTGAGCTAAACGATGATGATGGCACTCCTCCGTTGGGAAGTGGTTCCAATATTGTTGACGAGAAATGGATATTTAATCAGGTGAGTAAAAGAGTAATTCCCATTGTCGCAATAATTCTTTGTCTTTGTCTTTGTCTTTGTCGTTTGAAGGATGGGAGGGGGAGGTAAACTGAAATTGTAAGAAAAGTGGTTTGGTATTCGGTCCCATAATTAAGGCCAAGACAAGGCGAGCACTAATTTCTGTTACTATTTGCAATTAGTTGTGTGACCTTGTCTAATGAACATGCGCCCCTTTTTAAAACATGTTCAAGCTGCCAGTAAATTTATTTATAAATTTCTCTTTCATGCGTTTTGTGTTTGTTGTTCTGCAAACATTTTTTTTATCTCAGCACAGATCTTTTGCTGAAATGCTTCGAAACGACCACATGTGCGTATACATGCTGCTGTGAAATTAATATTGAAATTAATATCACTCATACGCAGTTGCATTGGCAGACAAACGGAAAAGTGCCAACTCTCCTCAATGTGCACAATTTGTTCTCAATCGAATAATCATCCATTTGATATGCATGCACATGTTTTGCACATTGCTATTGAATTTTCTGTGCCCCCACATGGAAATGGCATGATGCTTCGTGTCATTCCATTCAGTTAAGAGTCGACACTCTACACTTCAAACGTGGTGTGATATGGACACAGCTGTTTACATTGGCATTTTACGATTGAAAATCTTATCCCCATTTGGTATAATTATATCCTCAGTTATAGCTATATCATTTGACCTTAGGTCTCTTTGGACCACATCCGTTTCAGGACATTTGGGGTCGATCTAGCGATGTCCGTCCATCTGTCTGTCTGTCTGGCTGCAGTGCACCTTAACTTTCGAAGGGAGTATCTGATTTGATCCAATATATTGGTCCATTCCTTCTGGTAACTCCCACACAAAATGTCAAAACTTTCAAAGAAAATAATTTACTGCTCAGAAAGTGTATGGATAATCCGATTTTGCTCCAACTTTGCGAATCCTAATATTTTCAATAGTGCTAGGTTAGGTGAGAAAATGGAAAATATCGGTCCACTCCATCAAGTACCTTCTCCACAAAGGATCAAAATTTTGAATAATTATAACTCTTATAAAATGAGATGTAAGTGTCCGATTATCTTCAAATTACACACGTCACGAGTTTTTCAGAGGTCTGTATTTGAGTGATATTGAAAAATACATTACGGAGGATTTTTTCCTACTCCCTGCCCGAACTCGATTAGAGAAATAAATTACTCGAATTTCGAACATTTCGGAGACATGATTCTTTGCTATGTTCCGATTTGTCATCCCAGTCTTCCGAAATGTTTTCTCACTTTCGATATTAGATTAATGGATATGATTCAAATTTGATGTTCGCCCTCGAGCGTGTTTCGTGCTCGAACGAGTTTTTTTGGAGTTTTTTTTCCTACTCCCTGTTTGAACTCGAGAAGACACAAAACTCGCTCGAATTTCCAGCATTTCGGAGATATGGTTTTTTGATATATCCCGATTTGTCTTCCGATAAGGATCGCCCTCACCTTTGATTTCTTCATTTAGGCACTTCGATTCGACCAGAACGAGTTTTGCGGAGGTTTTTTTTCCTACTCCCTGTTCGAACTCGAGAAGAGACAAAACTCGCTCGAATTTCAAGCAATCCGGAGATATGGTTTTTTGATATGTCCCGATTTGTCTTCCGATAAGGATCGCCCTCACCTTTGATTTCGTCAGTTAGGCACTTCGATTCGACCAGAACATTTTTTTCTCATATTTTTAGAAAAATGTTATGTTGTGGCTATTTCGATCAAGGGTATTAATGATTCGATGCAACCAATCGTTCTCTTCTTTCGTACTTACTGCGTATTGTGTTTCGCACTCACCCTGGAGATATTTTCAACTAAAAGAAAACAAGGAAACGGTTCGTAAATAGAGCCAAGGTCTTTGTCGTCCATCGCCTGGCAATGAGAGTAAGGAAATGGGTGAGGGTATGGGTTTGCCTCTACTCTGGGTTTTTGTTAGTGTTACTATTTTTGAATTGTTGTTGTTGTTATCATTAGCAATGTCATTTGCAGATACACTTGCTAGAATTTCTGATAATGTTCATGTTCTCATTGCTGTTGTTGTTGTTTTTCTTGTTCTATCTACCATTACAGTTAATTAAATTCTCGACACAAAACAACTATGATCCTGGGCAAATAGTGAAAATCCTTTTGGAGATACAATCGGAAAATAAGCTACAAAAGATATTCAACACGGCCAACTTTGATGCGGAGCGTATTTTAAAGCACACAATTTCCCATTCGCTGCAGGCGATGCTGCAAACATTTCGCAATAATTGCATACAATATAATCCGCACATTCACTACATGCGACCGAATCCATTAGCGCGAGTTTCACTTGCCCAGCTTATGACACGTATCGTTGAGGCAACAATTGTTGGCGATGGTGGCAATGACAATAAAGCAACAGTTTCCAGTACCACCACCGGCCCTAGTTCCACCACCGCTGCTGATACTGATGGTCGTCGCAAGGCATCGTTATCGTTCGTGTTGTCGTTGCTGTTGCCCATACATTTGTGTGAAGCTGTAATCGCATTAATGGAAAACATTAAACAAATTGAGGTGACGGCCCTAATTTACATCGAATCGAAATTCATTGATAAATTCTTGAGCGAACACTTGTTGCGACCGGAACATGTAAACGTCCTGGTGCGCTTTATCGGTTACTGCTGTCAACGTGTTGTGGCCTTGTGCCACAATAGGCCTCTGCTGCTAAACAACCAGGAACAAAGGAACTCCCTGACGATAGGTCTACGCTGCATCGATGCATTGTTGCAACAGAAATTCATTTGGAGCGCCCTGAACCAACAGCAGGCGACATTGGCAAAGGCACCCTCCAGTGGTGGTCCTGGAAGTGCCATGGATGCTGATGAAGTAGCATCGACACCACTGGCAAAGTGTGAACTAAATACAATTATTTGTTCTCTACTCGATGTTGTTAGTTTGGCAGGCACTCTGCTGCTGGAGAATACACCATTCTACAAGAAATATAAAAATGTTTTGAGGTCTTCGACAGCAGCCGCAACGACCCATTCCCTGGCAAGTGAACCACCACAAAAACATCAACAACACCATTGCTGTCGACATGCAGCAAGGCCACCACACCAACCACAAAAGGAGGAGTGCAAATCGACAACGACGACGACTACGACGACGAATGAGGAAGAAAACTTTGAAAATATTGCCTGGCTAACAGCAAAATACAATTCGAAAGCTATTTTTCTGGGAAAATTAATTGAAACGAAAATTGGCAACTATGATAAAGGCATTTGTTTTGGTGAATACAACAACTATTCGTCTACGACTTTTACATTTTGTCCGGCAGCCAGCAGCCGACCGGGTGATGTTGAGGCGGTGCAGGACCTCAAAGGCATAAATAACCAGTTTGATTTCATTTCATTGGTAAGTTTTACAAAATTTTAGATTTTCTCTCAAAGCCACACTAAATAGTATTAACCCTTTGGGATTCGAGCACTCTCAAAATTGCCAGTTTGAAAATGTTCTGTAAAATTTGTAAAGGAAAGCTAAATGCTGAGAAGGTATATCAAGTCGATATACATTTTTGGCATAAGCCAATGAAGGGTATTTTAAGGGTTAACCTAAAACACACACACATACACATAAATGTTTTCATCTCAATATTTGTCGATGCGAAGGAGAGCTTTTAATTTAAGTAATCGAATATTTTATTGCTTTGAAATTTGTACCTTTAATTAAATGTTGAACATTTTTCTTTGAATAGCAAAATAGTTCATCAAAGTGGTTTAGATGTGTAGCCATTGAATAATTTATTAGATTAATAAATGGTTTATCCTGCGGAAGTGGTTAAATCAAATTATATATATTCTTGTGTAAATATTTTGGTGCGGAACTAAATTGTATTATTTTGAAATCCTAGCTGCAGGGTGGAGTGTTTTAAAGACAATCTAAGGAGGAATATTTTCATATTTTAGTTTTCAAGGAAATGTCTTTAATATTAAGAAACAAAGTAAAAAAAACATTAAGTTCGGTCGAACTTTTAATACTCTCCATCATTGGTTAAAGAAAAAATTTGAAATAAAAGTATCTGGAGACGAGTTCCACTTTAAACTACGAATAGAAGTAAGACCGTTTAGATAATGCAGTTAAACTTTTCCAAAAACCATAATGTGTATGAAGCGTTATATAGAGGCCCATACCAAAAAGGGGAACCCATGTAGGCAATTTTATACTACAAGGATTGTTATCTATTGCGAGTCTTAAATACTAATTTTGAAATAATTTCGTGGTTAAATGTAACTAGGACTATCAAAATACCGAATATCAATTGGTATCGTTATATGTGCGCTATAGGAAAACGTGAATCTAGATATTCAATGGTCTGCCAATTAACAATAACAATTTGAAGCTCTACGTCAACATTAGACTGTATTGTGATTTCAACAGACAGACATAAAGTGGATCTTATGGATCGCTTGAGCAAGTCCCTGATTAACCATATAGTAGATATATATTTCCCCAGTAAAAGCCTATTAACTAATTAATTGGGCAGATTTTCGAAAGCAACAACCTCCTGTATTAAGGGATTTCAATACCCATTGCGAGTTGTAACATCCCGTTTTTTGTAGTGACCACAGGGCATCGACGCTGAAAGAGCAATGTGAGAGCGTCACTGTTCGCCAAACATAACCAAGTCCCATAAATCACGTTAATTGAAAGCCCTTAATACTTCTTCCGTTGTCGTTTCCATCAGCTGATATCAAAGAGAGTTATTAAAAAAAATGAGTTAACCATTTTTTAAGCCACTTGAAAAAGATTGAATACGTTTTACGATTGAATACTGCAGGACTTTAGGTATTGAAAACGGGCTATATAGGTCCATATGACTGTACCTCAAGATATTCGGTATTTTGATGATTTTAGCGACATTATCCACCAGAATTGTTTCAAATTTCGAATTTGAAGTTCCTACAGTCTATGACAGAAAATTGTATATGTACGTTCAGGTCCTCGTATTCCGTATTTTTATGATTTTAGCAGTTAGTACGTTAGACGAGCCTCCCAAGTACGGGGTGTTCTGTTGTCTCACAAAATTGACTATTTATAAAAGGGAAATCTTATCTCATGCTGTGCACCTGTTGCTCAATTATCCCAAACTTAACCAAATTTTTAGAAGGCTACTGGACTAGCGAATTAGGATTATGAACTTTGGCAGTTAAATTTTATAGAGTCTGGAACGTTCAACATAAATTTAGCTACACCATCTGAAAGGTTATAGTATTTTGGGCAATATAAACTAAGTAGTTTTTAATGGGACACAGTCACGTTTAACCACTTAACTGTGACTGATGCAAAAAGGTTCCCGCTTATATTAATTGTTGAAACGTGGAGTACTTCGAATATATTATCGATTACCTCACCAAAATTGTCAATTTATGCTACCCACCCACTTTGCTAACAAGGATGTCAGCGAAAGGGTGTTTTAGGGAACAATTTTATTCTCAGATTATTAAGAATTCAAATAGTTCAGAACTACCCAATCTTCTGATCTACTCAACCTTCTTAATATCAGAATAACAGAATTGATTTTTGCTGCTGTCGAATACCCGAAATGTAACCAAATTTTCCAGCAGAGGCTGCGAGACTAGCGTGATAAATTTACTCGGCCTAAATCTACTGATTTCAGAATCTGTAAACTGAAATTCTGAGTCAACAGGTTGGTGCCAGAGTATAACAGGGAAAAGTGTTAGACCATTGTAGCATTCGGTTAAATCACTCACACATCTTAACGGTTAAACCACTCTCGTACCCTGAAAAAAAGCAACAACGTAACGGTGCGCCGGTTTTTTATTGCCGATTTGTAGAGAACCGCGAGAGCGATATGACGAAATAATGATTACTACGACGAATCCCAGAGAGTGGAACTAGGGTCACCTAGATGGAATTATAAAATTTCTTCCCTCTGCATTTCCACATTGTTATTCAATATCGATCATGGCGTTGGGTTTGTTAGTTGAGGACACATGTGCAAGATTAAGCTCTTATCTAATCAAACATATAACCTTCTTGAATGCCGGAAATTTGAGATAAATCTTTTAACTGGGACAATCTTGGAAGGATTGTATTTCGAAACAAGTAAAAAAGCAGGTAAGTTCGGCCGGGCTGAACTTTTTGAAGGAAATTGAAAAAATTACGTCGGAAAAGAATTCCGGTCTATAACTAAAATACCTTAAAATAGCGTCGGAAATTACCGCTTCAACGAGAGCCGTTATGTAGAGGCCATACGATGACGTGGTCCTGCAAAAGTTTTTTTGTCATAGCCTGTAGTACCGGTTTCGAATTTCAAATAAGAAATTTGAAACATTTCCGGTCAATAATGTCGCTGATATCATGAAAATACCAAAGAAATGGGAAGTATCGTTATATGGAGGGCTATATGAAGACACACAATTTTATGGGGGTTATATGAAGACATACACATTTTTTTGTCAAAGGCTGCAGTACTCATTGCGAATTTCAAAAGAATTCCGGTCTATAACTAAAATACCTTAAAATACCTAATATAGAGAGGTACCCTTATATAAGGGCTATCCGAACACCAGGACCGACATGGCACATTTACGAACTTAATCTGTCAATGGCAAAATACGCATGTTTGCAAAATTTTAGTCAGCCCAAAACTCTAAGCCGATTAATTGATGTCCGTCTGTCGATTGTAATTACTGTCTTATTCGAAAGATTTGAGATAGAATCTCAATTTGAGATAGATAGAATCTCAGACTTTGTAGGGTCAATCATAAGTATTTCGAGGTATTACAAACGGAATGACCATAGAATGGAGGAGGTTTGACCATAGAATGCTGAGATTTTTAGACTAAAATAAGTAAAAAAAAATACTTCACGTAAAAATTCTTTAAGTTATTCAGTCGCTTATCACGTGAATGCATTGAACTGATGTTTCAAAACTCACGATTTAAAGTCTTTTCACGTAAAATTACTCATTACTAAAATAACTGTGCTCCTCAATTCCCCAATAAAAGATTGCAAAAAAGCTATTCTAAAAGAATACCAAAGTATTTTCATGAAATATTGATGTTAATTTAACACCACACCTGCACAAACTACACGGCACGGTTCTCCATTGGCCATTATCCTTTACTCATGCATTTTTTGTATGTATTTGTGTTTACTTTACTTGTTGTTTTCTGTTTTATTTTTTCTCCTGCAGGATGTTTTGCTATCGATTGGTATTTCAACACTGCGAACGAATCTGTTTTATGCAACAGCCGTAACACCCCTTGAAATCATGCAGCAGCAACAACGTTTACTATCTTGTCCACCAAGTGCTGCCGCATCACCATCCACATCGCCATCGCATCATAAAAATCAGTCGGTCACTGGCGGCGGCACGGCTATGGTAACCAGCAATTCAATGTTGCCAATTATTCCAATTGAAAGTCTAAGTGATGTCGATATTTTGAAGAGCTTTGTTCGAAGGTAAGAACGCTAACGTTAATTCCCTGACACCCAGAAATGTAGAGCCAAAGCAATTGGACCACAACAACTTAATGGAGGTGTAACAGAAATAGAGAGGAAAGGAAATTTAAAGAGCTGCAAATAAAAAGGAATTGAAATTGGATTTTGTTACAATCGGTTATTTTCCGAGTAGAAGTGGGTGTTTTTTGTGGGGGGGGGGGGGGGGGGGGGTGTAGAATTAAAATGGTTCGATATACCCTACATTACGGTAATAATTTCTCAAAGTGATATTGTTTTAATAACTTTATAGGAATAGATTATAGACGGACTTTCGGAATTTCCAATGTCAGTCCATTTTTATACCCTACAGTCGGGGTATTATGTCTTTGTGCATGGATAGACCCATAGTTACTTTTTAGGATCTTCATAGAATCACTTTCTGAGTCGATTTATGCATATCAGTCCGTCTGTCCGTCCGTTCTTGTGAACAAAACGCAGGTCACATTTATTATCCGATTGAGATGAAATTTTCAAAACATTTTTTTTGGCCCAAGGACGAACCCTATTGAAATTGCTGATAATCAGATCAGATTTAGATATAGCTTTAATATATCTTCAACCGACTTCGGGTCAATTATGCACCAACTGGTCAATATCTGTCCAAAAGTACATCAAATTTGGTGAAAATCGGTGCAGATATAGCTATGGCTCCTATTTATATATTTCACCGATTTGGTGTTTAAGTACTTTGCATTCGTAATATGCAATCGATAACAATGATATTTGGTACCAGATATCAGATACAGCTCAGAAAAACCTCTGCCAAATTTAATCAAGATCGGTTTATAGTTGGATATAGCTCCCATATATATCTTCAACCGATTTCGAGTTAATTGTGCATCAAATGTTCGAATTCAGTCAAGAAGCAAGTAAATTAAATTTGATTAAAATCGGTCCAGTTATAGCTATAGTTCCCATATATATGTTTCATCCGATTTGGAATGTAAGTCCCTCACATTCGTAATATGCTTTCGACAACAATGATATTTGGTGTTATACATCTATACTTTCGACTTTTGACATATCTTTGACAAATTTTATGGAGATCGGCTATGATTTGGATGCAGCTCCCATACATATCCTTAATCCGATTTCAGGTTTATTGCGGAAATAATGGCTAATATCTGCCCAAATGGAGTGAATTTACGCCGTACGTTTCAATTTTGTGGAAATCGACTCTGATACATATATTTTTAATATAACCTTTCTCGAAGTGATATCTTGCACTTGCTATAGGGTGTAATTTGGTATAAAAGATTTAAATGTCCCCGTCAAATTTAGTGAAAATCAATTCAGAATTGGATATGCCCCCCTATATTAGTTCCAAATTAGTACCAAATTATAATTGCTCTAAAGCCAAATGTTGATTGGTGGTATGATATACTTCAAATAACGTCTTTTGCTACGGGAGCTCTACTAAGTATTCATGGTGGTGTAGGGTATCATAAAGTCGGCGCCCATCCGACTTTTGATTTTTCCCTACTGAGTTTTTCCCAATTTTTATATTAGCTATTAAATTTTCAAATTCTTTTGAACTGTGTGTGTGTGTTTCGACCCAGTCATCCTTGAAGAATTTTTGACTTCTTACTATACATTTCCTCCTTTCATATTCCTTTTGTCTCGACTTCGTTTTTTTATTAATTCTTTTTGCGCACTTCATCTTTTTTTTAGATTGTCGATTTTTGGTTTTACAACACGTCAACAATTCGAAGAATATTTTATGACATTCCTGCTGCTGATCAATAAAGTTTACGACGAGAATATGGTGGACCAGCAAGAACAATTTCAAATACGCAGTATTTGCTTGGAAGCCATTATGGAACTTTTAATTACCTACAAAAGTTTTCCAATTGTGGGCAATAAACTTTCACTCTATCATCACACGACACGATGGAATCGTATTAATTGTGATACCATAAGGTAAGTGCGAATGAAGTACCGTTACATCATAAAAACAAGAGAGAAAAAAAAAACCGGAAAAAACGTACGCAGTGAAGTGCATTTGTCCAATGTTCGTTCGTATAGAGTAATTATATAAATGACCTTGAGTGGGCGGAGAGAGTGCGAGAGAGTTGGGGGTATGATAATTTTGGGAAAAATAAAAAATGCAATTTGAGAACAAAAATTCAACACCAATTTAAGCCGATATGGGGCTCAATTATTATGTAAGCACTCGCATAGTCTTTTGGTATTGTGTGCAAAAATTTTTATACATCTGACTTCGTTAAAGATTAGCCGTCAACGGTATGTGATAATTTTCTACATTTTGAAGGTTCTCCTTACAATGTCTAATTTAACATTTGGGGTTTCTATTCAGAAAAATCGCTACAAATAAGATAGGTGATATTATTTTGACATTTGCACTCTCGTTTCTTACAAGGAAATGACAACATAGGTATATATTTTGGTATAGTCCCCATATAATGTCACCAAACCACAAAGTACCTCAGCTTAGAATTACCCAACCCCCCGAAAATAATGGTTGAGACTATACCAAAATAAATACCTATGTTCTCTATCCCCAAAATAGCCTAAATACAAATGGTTAGCCAAATCGATTGGAAAATGTGGTTGCAACATTTATATCGGCGCTACTCTAAAATATTGACCTATATTGAACATTTTCTTCGAAGAGGTTTTACCAATTTTGATAATTATTTTCAAGGATGATTTCTTCTTATAAAGAGCTCAAGTTATCAACATCTGCCGAATGTAATATGAACATGTAAAATAGTATCAGTCGGTTTTGCCGACAGATGTATACGCCCAGCCTTGTGTTGTGAATATTTAAACTGTTGACCCTTCCGAAGCAGTTGACCCTACCGAGTATAGATATAAAGCGTTTTGTTTTTCAAAATGTTGAACCCTATGTAAGGCAGGTATCAGAAGGAATGATCCCATCTCTTCCATCTTTATAACAGATCTTGTGTTATTGGAAAAAAAGGTTGACAATTAGTTGACAATTCCATCTTCACACCAGACCTTGGGCTCATAAAAATTTTGTGGTATGTATAATTTGAGGATAACCGGAAGTTTATTTCGGATTTTATGATCGTCTTGGAAATCAAAACTTTGACCCTTTGTGGGGGAGGTACCGGAATCTCAACCATCTTCACAACAGATCTTGTGTTGATGAAAATATTAAGATGTGGCAAGTCTGAATGAAATCGGAGATTAATTCCACGTTTTATGAGCTTCATGAATATTAAAAATTTAGACCCTTTGTGGGAGTGGACCTATATATTCCATCTTCACACCAGACCTTGTATTAGTAAAAATATTGTGATGTGTGTAATTTGAAGAGAACCGGATGTTTGTTTCGGACTTTATTATCGTTTTGGTTATTCAAATCGGATTATCCTTTCTCTTTCTTTGCGGTAAATTATTTTCTTTGAAAATGTTGAAATTTTGCCAGCCAGAGAGACAGTCGGACGGACGTCGCTCGATCGACTCCAAATGTCCAGAAACGGATATGGGTCTCATGATATATACCCTCTCAACCCATATGGCTGAGGGTATAAAAATAATCGGAAAAATGTAAAATGTTGGTATCTCATATTTTATATAAGTTATTGGTATTGAATGATGCCTCCTAGCTCGTCCCAAAAATTCAATACAAATGTTCGGTATTTAGTGTATTTTAGAAATCTTAGTACCATTACCCCACAACTACACATTTCAACCTATTTCAAGCCAACGGTGCAATATTTAGTACTGTTAACGACAATCTAGTTCATAGTTCGGTACACCAGTTCTCAAGCGTATGAGTAATTTAATAAATGTCATATCACTCATACGCATAGTTTCCATACAAACGACCGGAGTCCAACTCTAGTTGGAACAACTCAACAACTGAAGTTGGCACAACTCTAGCTATGTAGTTTGACAGATCTACATCTAACTTAATTTTGTACAGTATTCCGTTCTCATAGACAAACCCACATACCGAAACCTGCAGTTCTAGTTCTTTCCAATCACTTTATGAATCTTTATCTAGCTGTTCTAGCTAAAAATTATCATTACCAAATAACGTGTTTATTAGATGAAAAAAGGTGTAGTAATTCTAAAAATGACTACCAACGTTCGCTGGCGTGTTTGAAACGTCAGATCCACGAACTTATTTTGCCGATTGCAATTGCATTTCGTGCGTAACCTTTCTTATCCTTAAGAATAAATTTTTAAATCTCATCTCTTCACACAAGCAGTGAAAGGTCGTGCAATCATTTCGTTCCGTTTCGTCTTACCTTACCCCAACTTATCATTCAACCCTCGTAACCCCGGTTTTTTGGTCTATTAGTTGCAAAGTAACATCGAATCGTAATGAAAAACTATTAGAATTTTGTTGTTGTTCTTTGCGAGGAAAAGAAATTAAAAGACATTTGCACACTTGCCAAATCTATGATGATGTTTTATGTAGGGGTATGTACGGGTATGTGTGTGTGTCAGTGTTCAAAAGCATGTCTGTTCATGCTCTCTTAAATGTTACGAGTACAATTTAGATAACATTATGGCACTTAAGGGCTTTTCACAAAACTGCAAACGAAGTGAACATCCTCCTGAAATGCTGCTGCTGCTACCTATGTTTCAGTTGTTGCTTTTGTTGCCGCCATTGGCATTGTTCTTCGCTGTGCGAGCCAACGTTGGAGCGACAATCCTTTTTGCCGTTTTTTGAAACAGGTGTCGTTTTTACGGAAATGGAATACAAAACGTTTTACTTATGAAACTATTTGTATTTTGCGTGGCATCGGTGGCACCACTAACACCGTGGCACACCACCGACAACCAGGGCGCGACTGCAACCATGACTGCAATGAGTGGGCATTGTGGGAGGGAGGAGATTTAAAATTGTTTCAGGGTCGCTGTGCCATTACATTATTCAGTCGTTGGATTGGAGGTGGGCTTTGTGCTGATGCTACTGCTGCTGCTTTCAAGTGCACGCCTTTCCCTTGTGGGTCTTTTGCTTTCTGTGATCATTGTCTAATGAGTGAATTTCTGTTCATTATAACTTTGGTTAATTTATGACATTTCTTTTTCGCTGTAAAATCAAAAGTAATTTTAAGAAATTAAAATTTCGTTTCGAAAAGGTTAAATTTTTGCAGGAGATGGGAAAAGAAGGAACTCTTTAACAAGTTGGGGTGTGCATATGTCATAATAAGTGATTTTTTTAGCAATCTTGAAGCCAGTCTTGGAAACATGGAGGATAGGTGTGACATGTAAAAAAAGTAATTTTAATAATTTAATTAAAAAAAAAAAAAAAAACAATTAGTCGATTATAAATTTATTTAAGCTATCCAGAGTATGGTTCGAGCCATTGTACAACTACGAAGTTAGAACAAAGTTACCCCCTAAATTAAATTTTTGGTGTCCCTATTCTTTCAAACACACATACACATTTTGCGAATGTGTGTGTATTGTTTTGAATAAAAAATAAGTTAAAAAGTATCAGCGGGTTTTGCCGACAGATGTAAACCCACAGCTAATGTACGATTATTTAAATATATTTTGACTTCTTTTATGAATATTAAAATTGTTGACCATCTATGGAGTAGGTTCCGAAAGAATGGGCCAATATTGTCCATTTCGTACCGGACCTAAATAAATATGATATAATTATTGCGACGTGCCAGTTTTGCACTATATTGGTTACTTCCTTTACTTTGCATGAGATATGGGCAAATTTTTAATGTCAAAATGTGCGTGAGGTGCCAAATATAGTCGACCGAAGTATTATAATTTCATAATTCATCCAATACAGATACAAATATAGGTTTGGGCAAAATTACAAGAAAATCTAACATTTATATCCAATTTTATGCGAAATCATAAATACCACGTTCATCTCAGGTTTCTGGTAGAGAGAAATATTTAGATATAGCAAGTTGGAAAGAATCGCTGGCTGCTTTCGCAAGTTATGTCAGATAAAAATATAACAGTGTTGGCTTCTTTGTTCGGGATACCGTAGTATTTTGTTGTTGCAAAACGGTCAGGCTTAATCCCTTTATTGTTGTTTTTATAAAAAACAGCGTTTATTAGTGGAGAACAATGGTAATGTTTACCAGGGGATAAGGCAAGTTTTTTGTCATAGAAGTTATTTTTAAAATAACTTCTGGGGAGAATATCCCAGGCATTAAGCAAGGGAACTGGTGAGGATTGGTGGCTCTCGTTCCTCACTAAAAAACAAACGTTGTTTTTAAAAAAACAACAATAAATGGATTAAGCCTGACCATTTTGCAACATCAGATAAAGTATCACAAAGGGTTTGCAGATATATATGTGTTTGTATGTGTGAAATTTGAAGAGAGTTGAATGCTTACTTCGCTTTCTGTGAACGTTTTGTTTTTCAAAATCTTGAATCCTATGTGGGGGAGGTTCCTGAAGAAATGGTCTGACCTATACCATATTTATAACAGAGCTTGTGTTGATGGAAATATTGAGATGTACCAAGTCTGAATGGAATCGGATGTTATCTTCACGTTTTATGAGCTTCATTGATATTTAAAATTTTGACCTTTGGTACCAGAAGAAGTTGACCGACACATCCCATCTTTACAGAAGATCTTGTATTAGTAGAAATGATGGGATGTGTGAAATATGATGAGAACGGGATCCTTATTTCGGATTTTGTAATCGTTTTGGTTGTTCAAAACTTTGAGCCTTTGTGGGGGTCGTACCAGAAACAATTGTCCGATCTCTACCATCTTTATAACAGATCTTGTGTTGGTAGAAATATTGAGGTGTGCCAAGTCTGAATGGAATCGAATGTTAATTTCGTCTTTTATGAGCTTCATGAATATTCAAAATTTTGACACTTTGTGGGGGAGGTACCAGAAGGAGTTGACCGATATATTCCACTTTCACCCCAGACCTTGGGTTTATAAAAATATTTGGATGTGTGAAATATGAATTTTATAATCGTTTTG